GTAATCAGACCTTTTATCAGGGTAAAACCAGCAAAATCTTACTATGACATCACTCCACTGCAAGTAAGGTCCTGCATTCAAAACTTTATTTAAGTGAAAGTATTATTATCTGCAAAATGTACCATCATACATGATGTTGTTGGACTAATATCACTGCTGTATTAATCTGTATGTTACATTGTACTGCTGAAGATACTTAAGTTTGAGCTAATTTGAACTACTTTAAATACAGCTGGGTTTTAAATCTACAGCAATTCATCGTATTCTACAAGATTACCATGTCAGTAGTGTTGTTGTCCTGTAAAGACCACAAATCTGTAAAAAGGCAGCAATTCATGAACACAGAAAAATTAATGATAGATGGTTTCATATGGTCTGGAAAGGTATGAAAAATCAGAAAAGTAATTAAAGCTGTTAGACAAATGTAGCCGAGTATAAAGTGCCATAGTTACCTCTGCGATGTACTGGAATAGCAGTGTAAAGTCACACAAAATGGGAAAAACTCAAGTAAAACTGAGTGTCTGAGAAATTACATTCCACCACTGTGGATGAGTAAATTTTGACTTTAGAAAATCCTTCAGCCTTGCTCACCTTTGTCTCAGTTACAAGTCTGTGATGCAGAAATAAAGACATTTTAGAAACTGTGATCACAATATCACACATATTATTTAGAGTTAACCCCTGCAAACATATAGTGAACATTACGAATCCCTGGTAAAGTACTCGGCCAAAGATTCTTCATGACATGTTCAATGACAAATCAGACAACAGGCCAGTATTGTTTTAGCCAAGATCACATCACCAACCATATTTTCTTTACCTGGAGATGTAAACTAATAGTACTGTTTTGAGCAACATGTTTACTTTTGGAGTTTGTGAAATAGGTGTTTATGAGCAGTGTTGTTTTCCCCCAGATTTATCTTGATAACATTTTTCCCAAATGTGTTGCAAAGTCATACTGGTAACTAGTGTCGCTGTAGTGGCAGATAAACTAGTTTAACACAACAAATAGTTTGTTAACGTCCAGAAACTACACGTCCCATGATGCTTTGGCAGCGCCTGTGCCTCTAAGACTCATGGGGGATGTAGTTGTTCAATGCAAACAAACTTGCCGCTGCTTTATCTTTATTAAAATTACTGGTTATTATCGCCAAATTAAGTATTGGAGACCCATTTAACAAACATACTGACCAGAAAATGACACACAAAGTCTGACACACAGAGTTAGCTCTGTGGCTAACTTGCTAAACCCGGAAGGGGAGGGACCGTCAGCCGGAGCAGTTTATGATCGTTTCTGCTGGAGCCTCAAGTCCTTTACACGCAGCCTGTGGACAGAAGCAGACCTCTGTAGCGTTCAGCAGTTTGCTCTTCAAATATTACAAAATGGCTGCAAGAAAAAGGCCGAAGTTTAGCAGTTTTCTGACGCCGAGTGTTTCCAAGAAGCCCAACCGCTGAGCAGTGGAACAAGTGAGTATAATGTGAACATGTGATGCTAAGTTAGCGCGCTGCTGAGACACGTGGACGTGGTGCAGAGACTCCACAGAGCGAACATGTGCTCATACAGTAGCGCTGATGGCTGCCATTTAATACAGCATCTGATTCATAAGAGTAATGTAACGTTAAACTTCCTGTTACAACTAAATGTGTAGCTGGATAACCACAGAAACTTCAGTTCATCCATTCTCTCCCAGATTGTGTTCCCTTGAAATACCTCGTGTGAGATTATTTGTAGTTACAGGTTCTCAATTTGTCAAACCCCCTGATTGCTTTTTTAAAATAATTGCTCTTGTTCCAGTTGTGGCCATTGAAAGAGCCTTTCTTAACTTACTGTCAGTAATGGAGAGGGAGCAGAGGTCACAGGCCTCACTTTGGACTAAAGTTAACCATGGAACTAAATGACTGATAATATGAAGCCAGTTAGCTGTTTGTTGAGGTTGCAACTGATCTGTCATCTATTTTAATCATTCTAGTCTATAAGAAAATAGGCCTATCACAATTTCACAGACCTAAACAATGTCCTGGACACTGTTGGCAACACAAAGCCATCTATAAGTAGGTTATTCTCGTAGTTTAGTCGTAGCAACTGGACTCACTTGAGTTCCTTGAAGACGTTTCACCTCTTATCCAAGAGTTCAGAACTGTTTGTCCAGTTGCTACGACTAAACTACGAGAATAACTGTGACCCCTGATGAATCTTCAGACATCTATAAGTAGAACATTTTATATGTGATTCATTGAACTTGGACCACATTTCACCAGCCAGTGCAACCAGACTGGAGAAGTACCTTCTCATTGATCAGTGGCTTCTCTTTCGGCCGATAACTAAACGAGTCATCAACATTTTGTCAGAAATTAGTTTTATTACATGTTGTTGGAACCACAGTTAAACTTGTGGAGAATGGCGAAAGGTCTAAGGTCAGATTGAATATCGTCCACTTTTCAATTAGAAATCAGCATTAAAATCTTGGTGCTCACTGGGTTAGTTTTAAAAGAAGTTCCAGCCTGTTGTGTTAAAACTCTTCATGTTGGTCTCTAATCCTTTCCTCCTTCACAGTCGAGGCAGATTTGGATGACGATTGCAGAGACTCGAGAATGGATAGCGCCGTGTTTAGCAGACTGAAGATTCAGTCACTGCCTGAATTCAATCCAAGGACAATGTGATAATCCTGAGATCAAAGCGAGTGTGGGACAGCTGGTGAGTCTACATGTTGGCATGTGAAGCACTTTCAGCCAGTGATGACAAACTAAATAAACTTTTCTGACACCTACTATGAGAGCTGAACTGCAGCTCCTGATTCTATCTTTGTTCTGAGGCTTCATCGTTGGTGTGTTCATGCAGTGTTCACCTCAAGATTGTCGCTGTTTTCTAACTTGTAAAACTGTCTGCTTTACAGGTAACAATGATGATTTGAGCCGACTTAAGATCTGCTGGGATTCAGATGAACGTTCTCATTGAGCAGCTGGGATGAGAGCAGGTGAGTCTGTACATGTTGGTATTAAAACATTTTCAGCCGGTGATGACAAATGAAATAAACTTTTCTGACACCTACTATGAGAGCTGACTGCAGCTCCTGATTCTAGCTTTATTCTGAGGCTCCTGCTGTAGATGTTACTTCCAACACAATGGTGGTTTCTTTATCTAAACTGTGACTGGATTTCCTTCTTTTACAAGTTGATTGATGACTCGAGAAAGAAGACAGCAGTCCTGCTGGTGACAGATGGTGTCCTGGTTTCTTTAATGGTAGGTGTGTGTGTGTGTGTGTTTTGCATATGTACAGTACAGTCGGTGATGACAAACTAATATTTCTGACACCTCGTATGAGAGCTTCCAGCTCCTGATTCTAACGTTTATCTGAGGCTACCATGGATATGTCTTTTTTCCTTGTCACAGTTTGTTCCAGTCTGATGTGCGTTTGTCTCTTTCAGGTGTCCCAACACCTTTTTTTTTTTTTTTATTGCTGCCTCCTACGAGCTGACAGAACAAACCTGAGCGAGGCCACTTCCAGTTGATGGGACCAAGAATGTATTTTGTCATGTTGTATTTGCTGAATAAACAGTAACTGTTTTCAGAATGGTCTGTGTTTGGTTTTGTAATTGTAAAGTATTTTTAAGTAGCTCTGGGGTGTTTTCACCAAATGCTAATAAGGTCATTATGTAGGTGATGAAGGCAGTAGGAGCAGATCTGAAGTTGAAAACTGGCAGTTTAATCGTGTGTTTAGACAAAAACCTACCGGTCCTAATTAGACTCTTACACCTCATCTAGTGAAAATCAGTTGCTTTTGATGTAATGTTCACTATGTCTGCAACAAGATTCTGTTTTCTAAGCAGGTGAAACAGACATGAGACATCTTGAGTCTTTAAAACTATAATAACTTTAAACAAAAAAGGTACAGTCCTTTACCCATCCATTATGAGATCTAGCACACACACTCATCTGTATGTTCTATTACAGTGGGTCTTAAACTTCTTGAGCCACGACCCCCAAGAAAACATAAGTTTGTGTTCGTGACCCCCCAGTTTGAATTTTTATTACGGCATGAGTAATAACTTTGTTGTTTGTACATTAATGCGATAAACATGAATGTGTTAACTCCACAGATGAATCTCTACATTAACACGTTGATTTTCTTTTAAATGAATGAATTGAATTTATTTCAAACAAATGAAAGGGAAAAAGATAAAACGAGAAAAAATTAAAAAAAAGAATATTAGTATTGCGTAATCAAATCATAATATCAACAAGTACACACTTTTAATTTTGACAGCCCTAATACAAATTTATTTAATAAATGTAGGCTTTATTTTATTAGATTTTTTTTTTACAATGATTTGATGACCCCCTGAAATTATCCTGGGACCCCCATGAGGGACCCAACCCCCAGTTTGAGAACCACTGTTCTATTAGATCCTTGAAGAATGTCCTCTATGTAGGTTTTGTACCCTTTCACCTGGCTGAGGATGTGAAGGGCTACGGTTCTATCTGCACCTTCAAACTGAACTTAAAGTCTGCTAAAAGCTGCTCACTGACCTTGATATTCTGTCCTATGGTCTTCAGTATTTGATGTGGACATGTTTGCGATGTGCTATTGTGTCCTTTTCTGTATAACTGGATTGTGTTGTATTTGTTCTGACCTGCAAAGCGACTGTAGATGCAAATTCAGTAGAGGCTGTAAACTGGTGCATCACATGGTGACACTAATGTTTGAGTTGTTTTTGAGTCCTTCTAAATGATCAAATTCAGAAAGAAGCTGCAATTTTTATGAGTCCGGTTATCAAGCTGTCTCTCACAGATCATTTGTGTAAAACCTGCTGTAGCTTCCACTCTTGTGTGAGTGTTTTAATCATTTTGGTGCCATTTTGCATCACATATTGTGTCTTTGAATTGGAAGCACGTTGATCCTACAGAGTTACACCAAACAATAAAACTGGAATGTAAAATGACCTGAGAGATCAGAGAAGGTTCAGAGACAGTTTCAAACCTCCTGACAGCTCACACATTTAACACCAACGTGGTTCAGATCACAGCCTGATGTTTATCTCAGATGTTTCTGCTTGAGCTGAGAGCTGCTGAACTGAACTCCTGCTCCTTTTATTGCTCTCTCTCTCTCCGTCGACTGGTGGCCTCGCAGGAACCAGCCGGGTATTAACAGAAACCCACATCATCTGAATAGGAAATTAATTCCCTGCCTGGTTTTCCCTTTGGAGCGCGTCCTCATTTGCGTGATTTCGTGTCTCTGCTGAGCCTTCGTCCGGATTTCCATACAGGTGCGTCCTCCTCGGCTCCAGACCTCGTTTGACTGTCAAAGCAGGCGGCGGGGCTCCTTTTCTCCGCCCTGCGCATCCCGCATCCAGTCGCAGCCGGAGCGCAGCGCAGGGGAGTGCCTCTGCGCCGCGGACAGCCGACACACGCAGCCTCCTCCCCCACTGACGCCGGACTCCTCTGCCGGGGTAACGACACAGACTCTCCGCTTCCTACGGTTCCCGCCGCCGTTAGAAAAAATAACAATCAATCCCGGTCCGCATCCTTCTGTCCGCCGGCTGCTTCACCGAATCGACCCGCGGTCCTCTCCGGTTAGGCCTGACGGTAAGAGCGGATGTTTTGTGCGTCTGTTTTTTTGTATTTTTATTTTGCGCGTTTCCATCCACTTATGATCACGACACATCTGCGCCCGAGCGGCTGTTTTGCATGATTGTAAGGTTAGAACCGTGGGCTTCCTACACTTTATTCAGAGGAAAAGGCAGGTTGTGATGTTGGGTAAACAGTGGAGGAGACGTTCTCCAGCCGGCTGAGGGATGGATGTCAGAGCAGCACGTTCTGGAAGATCATGAAATGATGAAGGCCTGCTGGCTCATGGAGCAGCTGGATGGATGCTGGTGGAGGAAACAGGCACCGGGCAGCGACCTACTTAGAGCCATTAAAATGATGAAGAGGATGAGAGATGATGATGATGAGGAAGAGAGAGAGGGGGGAGGAGGAGGGGGAGGAGGAGACAGCCTCCAGTAGAGAGGACTGAACTGATGGTTGGCTTGAACTCTCCTCTGGGCCCTCAGTCAGTCAGTCAGTCTGTCGCTGCTGTAATGTGGCCTGTGGCAGGGTGGGGCACGATGTACAATAAGTAGAAATAAAGGGCAGCAAACACAACCAGAGGAGCTTGTTGGATGTAAAAATAGAGTGTTCCCTCAAATTAAATACCTTGAAATATACTTTAAATGGTGCAACTTAAACCTTTTTGGCAGCACATAAAGTGCAAGGGATGTACCGTATTGACCCGAATATAGGACGACCCTGATTATAAGACGACCCCACATTTTCACATTGTTTTCAACAAAAAAAAACCTCGTCTTATATTCGGGCCAATACGGTACTTTGTAGGTATTTGTGCTTTAACTGAGTGTTTTTACTTCATGTATCTGACAGTTCTGATTGAAGTACTGCTGTAGTTGTTCCTGAATAATAAGTCTGTTATAATATCAGACTTTGATTTGACGATTATTCTTGGTGAACAAAATTCACAATATTAATGCAATATTTACAGAAATGTTGGGGGAAACTGGCTCTTTGGGAAAATGAATAACGCTCCTCACCCTCACATTTTTGCGAGTTCGACGGTCTGTGGGAGTCTTATTCAATCTGCTTGAAATTTTTAGATGCATCCATCCCTCCTCCTACACACCTGTCTTATGAAATGGATGTGTGAAGAGTTCCTCTGTCCACTGGATTAAATAAATCACACTTAAAAAACAAGCGAGATGGAGACAGTCTTTAACCAGAACTGTGCTGGATGTTGTTCCTGTGATGAAGAAAGTTACTGCTGCTGGATTATTTACGATACTATCTTGGGTATTATTCATGATATCCATATTTCATCACGGTTAGCGTCAACACCACTGATACACTTAGAAAAAGACATTTTACATGTGAAACATACTTCAGAAATATAATTTTAATCATATAGATGAACCTAAAAACAGGTTATTCTTTAGCATCAAATCGCAATCTTATAAATATTATAACATCCATACTTAACAGTGGTTATCAAAATTATCTTTTCTTTTGATGCTTAACTTCATTAAGATTTACATATTTGTATTTTAACTGTTGTAACATTTTAAATCCTACAAGCAAAACTTGGCGATAAGCAACAAAAAACAACACCAAAATGAGCCGAGCACATATAGTTTCTGTATCTGAAGGCAGCTACAGCAAGTTCCTCCGTGCATGTACCGCCACTGTCGTCCAGAATCCATTTAAATCATCAACGAGGCGATCGCTTTCACTGTGACACGTTCCTTCATTACGATCAACTCGAACACTGCAGTTTATCGTGTCTCAGTCCCACACACACACAATCCCACTGCTGTCAAAACTCAATTGGACACCGAATCTGCATTAATCCGCTGCTAAAAATAGTCCAACAAACGCTTTATTTACTCCTGTCATCCTCAAGTAAAAGCAGTGGTACGCTTTTGTTTCTACACAGACGAACACATCGACACAGTGTGACACTGCAGCTGTTTCGGACTGCAGAACTGAAGCGGCTCAGTTGCACCGAAGCGCTTGATTAATTTTGCTTCGGATGAGGCATCTGTGTTTGAAGTGAAGCCTCCATCTACTCAAGCTGCGTTTTATTCAGTCTGTTGTGTGTGTGTGTGTTTTTTTTCTGTCTCCGTGTGGCTGAACAGCAGTAGCATCATGGAGGAGTTAGACGTCCCACAGATGAGGAGAGAAGTGGAAAGCCTTCAGTATCAGCTGGCAATCAACAGAGAGAAATCCTCCATCACTGTTACCGAGTGAGTCTCTGACACACACACACACACATTCAGTGAGGTACTGGGTGTCATACTGGTGCTGACAGTGTGTGTTTTTTTGTAGGCTGGTGAAGTGGATCGAGGGTTGTGTTTGTGAAGATCCATTTCTGAACCCCGAGCTGATGAGAGCCAACCCCTGGGTGGAGAAGGGCAAGTGTGTGATCCTCTAATGATCACACACACACACAGACACACACTTGCACAGAAACACACACATGATCACGGATGCATCCACACTGAAGAATCATGCACTCCTACACGACCACGCTGCACTATCTCATACTCTCTTACACACACACACTTTATCGCTATGATCATGTTTATTTATTTGGAGACTCCTGAATGCTGTTACTTTATGTGAAGACTAATGCGTGCGTGAGTGTACAGCACCGAGTAGCTTTCTAGAGGTTTGTTTTGATGGACTGCTGAGCAATGTTCAACAACACCTTTTTATTGGCTCTTTACACTGTCAATCCAAATAAAGACTGTTTTGAATTTAACAGGATTACGCATTGATCTGGATGATTTCGTACAACACGGGGGGGAAACAAACACAGCTGACAATGAGGCAGTTCTTGTGTGTGCATGTGTGTGTTACAGTAGCTCTCTGATGTAGACATTTCGTCTGACGGCGTTGGACATGCCCTCGTTGAACCGGAACCACACGTCGCTGTTGCCCACTGCCGTTCCCATCGCGAGAACAGCGCTCTTCTCTCCTGCAGAGAGGAAACAGGTTTTTTAGCACTTTAACTCATTCAGGCCTCGTTGAGAGAATCAATCACTCTAAAAGCTTCTCTAAAGTGACCTCAAAAGATTGATCACTGCATCTACCGGGTTAACTAACTGTTTCATGTAGGGCTGCAACTAATAACCTGCTTTGTTTTCTCAATGAATCAGCTGGTAAGAAAATGTCAGACATCACAGTGGTCCAAAGTCGTATCGAAGCTGTTTCTTCAGACCGCTTGTTTTGTCTGAGCAACAGATCAAACGTGAAAGATAACCAGTTGTAAAAGTCTGACAAATACGACGACACCAGATACAGGGATGGATGGCTTTCTGGCATGTGAACTCAAACCAGGAGTGAATTAATTTGAAACAGAGTTGTAGATTAATTCAGTCCCTAATTAAGCTCCAGTTTGTAATTTTAGGTGATGAAATGAACTACTAGTCCAGTGTGATGATGTGCAGCTTTTCCCACTAAATAGGTAAATGAAAGTCATCAGATTTGGCTTTTGGATCATTTATTGGAGTTTTTTCTGTATTTTCTAAAAGAGTTTTCCGATTTTTGTGGCAAGTCTTCAACACATCACCACTGCTGAAGTTGGTATAACAGACCAGTTAATTCACTTATTGACTCATCCAGCAGTTATGGAGCCACATTGTCAACATCTGGAGTTGTGGTTCTGATAACCTGGTGAATGTAAGTCCAACATTGACTCTCTTTTAGCTCAGTTTTTGTTTTTTGCCAACTCTTGAGGGAAATATCTGTCTGTTAGCTGCCAAACACTCCACTGTGTTAATCAGCTGTAGGTTGTAGGTTTTCAGAGCCAGGGTCAGCTGATTGTCTGATTTCATTTTCTTTCTGATGATGGCTATTGTTTAGTTTTTTTTTTTCCTTTTTAACTAATTCCTGAAAAATGTAGTTAATTTAAAAATATGCTACTGTGGCTCTGATGCAGCGCCTCTCTTAAGTCAGACCTCTCTGTCCCATCCACAGCTCTGTCTGACTGGTTACAAGTTAGGAGTAACAGCCAATCAACACTGATGGATACACTTTGAGAAGTTCTTTTACTTAAACAAATGGGGTACGTGAATTTAACAAAGGTATTTTAACTAAACTTTGTGTTGCAATTTGTGTCATTCTAAATATCGACACCAGGATTTAAATTTTACTGCAAATGTGTATCAGTCCAAATATGACTTACTCCTTGATTATTAATAATCGCTATCAGCCCTGAAAAGAAAAACACATCAGTTTATCCTTATTTTAGACATTTCCACTGAAAGCAGCCTCCTGCTGCAGCCAAAAAAGACCCACAGAGCTCTGAGAGTGAAACAGAACAGTGAAGTTTTCAGCTGGACACAATGATGTCTAACTCACTATGAAGGCCTTAAAGCTGAGGAGAGCTGCAGACTCAGGTAACAATCATGTGTAGGTTAATTACTACGATCCCTCACACAGCATTTTATGAACTCCAGCCACTTTAACTGATAAAAAATTTAACTAATCATCAGCTGGAGCTCTGCTTGCATCTCTGAAAGTTGATGCTGTGGATGTCGACGCTGTGGGCTTGAACTGTGATTGGCTGCCTGTGGCTCCTCCAGCGAGTGTCTGATGCAGGTGGAAGCTGACACACTTCCTGCTGAGACATCTTCAGCGCAAAGCTTAACTGCTCACAGTAAATGGGCCTGTCATAAATATTACATAATCGCCTGCTGCCGGCAGCAGGATGAAACAGAAATGTCATGTTTCAATATGTCACTAGCTCCTTATTGTTTTCTAGTGTTTGCTTCAGCAACGGTTTAAATGACATCAACTGTTTATCTCAAGACATTTGACTTCTAATATTCACCCGACTGTATTCGGAGAAGTATCTGCTGACATTATCATGGATTTAACATCACCGCACTGCTGTGGGCACTTCTGGTTTTAAACCAAAAGAAAAAGGAGAGCTCAGTAACCTTGGCAGCACAGAGGCAGAAATACCACAAATAGCCTATAATACTAATAAAGGTATGACATAAACAGAAAAAGACAGTAAAATCATAAACACAACTATTTGTATGACAATATACCCACACTTAAAATTCATGATCGTGACAGCCTTAACTGTTCAGTGTTACTAATCTATCAGCGTGAATAAAAGAATAATATCTGCACAGAACTGTCCACAAACTCACGTGAAGGTCGTCTATGCTCTCATTAACCCGCTGCATTATAAATTCAGCTTTGGGCCAGAAGAGTTCTCATGGCATCAACCTGTCATGTAAAATGTATGACTGTGCCGACTGCATGTGTGTGGAAGACGTCAACATGTGCAGTTAGAACGTTGCAGCGCGTCCAGACTGAGAACACGACCAGTTCTGAGTGTATTCACTCAAACTAAAGCGTGTCAGAAAGTGACGCACAATCGCCTCCACATACACTCAGATGGACGTCCGGTTGATCATCAAGGGCAGCAGGACACGGGATTGAGAGCTGTGCCTGTTTTAGTTGTCGTTGTTCCTGCTTTGACCTACAAACAGCCACAGCTATGCATTTCCACTCTCATTCCCCTTTTGAGCAATTTCCGCGATGCGCCGTTTTCAGGAAGATTAGTGATTTTAATGGTCTAGTTTTAATTGCCACGACGACTGAGCACAGGACCTGGACCTATGAGACCAATTTTCATTTCACAAAATATCCTGTTTCCATCATATTGAAAAGAACAAACTGCACTTAATGTTCATACAGTATACGAGAAACACTGTATGTGAACAAAAGCTGGGTGTCTGTTACTGGGAATCCCAGATAAACAGTAACATGCGGTTTCTAAAACTGTAAGCAAAAGTAGAAATCCTAATTAGAAAATATTTAACTCAGCTGGTTAGTAGGAGGAGAGAGCACAAGCTACACTATTTTCCGTTGTAAATTTGTTTATTTTCTGTGTGGAGGTTTGATGCAAGTGAACACAACAGTCACGTTTGTTTCCAGTGACACAAAGCTACTGGCAGGCCAAACCAAAACAGAGATTTTATTAGGTTTCTGGAGCTACAGGACAAGAAAAATGTAGTAAAATAAGGCTTTTAGGCAGTGTTGCACATTTAAGTCATGCAAATAAAATATGAAGATTGTTTAATCGATTGGCTGGTTTCCAAACATAACAAAGAGGTTGTAGATCAGGCTGTGTCAGGCCTATTATGTGGCTAACAGAAATATGATAATACTGTGGTGGGAAAATGCAGGTGGCAGCGCTGCTGGCAGTCCAGATCTGCTGCCTGCAGCCTGCCACAAGAGCACTAAATTAGAAATGTTACATAACACACATCAGTTATCACCTCTGGTGTGTTTGGGCCTGACGTGCCTGGAGGCGTTTTTACTTAAACGTCCTGCACTTTCAGAGGGTTTGGAATAAGGGAGCTACACAAAAGTCTCTACAGTACCTGTGTCTGAGGACGGCTGTGGTCTCTGAGGTTTGGGGGCAACAGCTCGACCGAAGAAGTCCACCTCCGGCTGTAGGACACAAACAGAGTGACGTAGAGGATGAAGTTAATCAGGACATTTCTAAAACACTGTCCTCAATAAGAAGGTCAATATCAGTGAACAATCACAAGCACACACACCACGGCTCATTAGCCTAATTTCACAGTTTCACCATGAGGGACTGGAACCCAGTGGCTTCTCATTATCCTCATTTCCGCCCTCTAGAGGCTCCATCACTGAACTATTAGAACACTGCAGCTCATTCAGAGAGGCTGCTATTCTCTGGCTCCACCTGCAGGCGTTAACTCACACATACAGCGGTGGGAAGCTCAGCGCCAGCAGAGAAAGTGTGCTGCAGGTTTCGTGTGCCACAACCACAGCCCACCAGGAACATAGTGCAGTCTTCACCACTGACTCAGCTACTGCAGCTGAGTTATCTCTGACATCAAGCAGAGATAACTCAGCAGAAAGGAGTTTATGCCTGAAGGGCCAGTGCCAATGTGTATTAATCATTGTATGACATGACATGACACCCTACGTGGGCATAAAGCTGGTTTGCAGATCAAATCTTAAGTTCAAACTAGCTTTTTGCTTTGGTTAGGATTTGACTTGGGCAAATACGGCCGCTGTTTGGTGATGTCGCCACAGAATTAGTGAGATCCAATAGAAATGTCACTGTGTAACGTCTCTTTTTAGGTCCTGATGAGCGTCGAATGTTTCACTGTTGCAACTGAATGCACCAAACAAGTCCATCCAGAATGTACATAAGGTCAGCTCTGCTTTGCACCACACCTTTCCTTTGGTTTGGTTTTACTGAACCTGCATATTTTACACCATAAAATGTTACACAATTAGGCACAGACATCACCAACTTACCGATGGACCGGTTCATACATTCAGTGGGTGCATTTCTTAACCATTTTTTAAAAAAAGGTTGTGTCATTTGGTTTTGACAAACAAGTGTGCCCTCCTCTCTTGAGCCCTTCAGACATGCACTCCCTTCTGTTAATCTGACAGCAATCTGAACGTGTTCCCTTCATGTCTGAATGAGCACCCTGCTGACTTTACTGTAAAAGTCACCTCAGCAATCTGACTGCGTCAGACCTAGTAAGATTTATGTATCACTTTGTCTCTGGATATGATGTCTACTCTTACACATACCACCTATGAACAGATTGATGAAGCAGCTATGTTACATGCAGCTCTGTATCACATGTCTGAAAAAGGCTTAAACGCATCCTGGCAACTTTGAAGTACTTTAGTACATATTAGTAAATAGTAAATAAATATATAGTAAATATATCAAAAGATTTTGACTAAGTGGGGAAAAAAAGATGCATTTTTGCAGCTCAGCTCTGGTCTGTTTCATATTCACACTGACTTTTTTTTTTTTTTTCATTTTTTTTTTATAACAAATGAACCCAGTCTGTGTAGCATGAAGCCACAGAGACTGACGGGTAATTCACTGATTGGACTGTTGTGGTGAAATCACCCTTCACCATGGGGATCAAATTAAATTCTGGCCACGAAAAGAAGGTCATTCTGCACTTTATTGCTTCCAATATCAATATTTATGTTCTCTGAAGGCAGAAAGAAATAACTGATAATTACAATTATTAGTAAGTTATTACTGCAGGATGCAAACCAGTCGCTTGTCAGGTACAAAGAGAATGAAAATGCAGCATCTTGTTCTATAACATCATATAAATATAAAAAGCAGTTTATTATATTAACATAATATTATATTATATTTACATATTATATTATATTACATTATGTAAATATAATAAACTGCTTTTTAATGTCTGGTCAGGGTAAATAACATCCGTAATGCGCCAGTGCACATATTTGATAACCAAATGTCTTAGATGTCCAGATTGAACATAGCAAACATCAACGGTTCAAAAACAGCAGATGTATTTATTAGAAGTGTGCATCCATGCTAAAATCACAGATGTACTCAAACAAATTGTGTCTCTTCTGTTTCTTTGTGTGCTTTGAACCAGGCTAAAACTTTTTTCCCCAGAAAATGCTAAGGAAGGCTGTTTGCTCCGCACCAGTGTTTAACCGTCTTCTCACTCAACAGCTCAAACAAACAAGGCAAACGGATGAGAGTTGGTTTTGACCAAACTAAGAGATTTGGTGTGAAAACTTTGTGTTTGTGTGTCTCACCCTGGTCTCCACTGTGGTCTGTTTGACAATGTTCTCCAGTCTCTGCTGATGGTTCCGGGCTGGTTTTGGACCAGCAATCTTTTTCTCTTCCTGTTTGTCTTTCTCCTTCTACATCACACAGACACAGATTATAATTATTAACACATATGGTGACCTGAATGTTGATAATAAACCCCACAATCTGCTGGATGAAACATGCTTTGACACCATCTCACCACTGCAGGGTTTCGCTGCAGCATCAGTTGCTCGGCCCTCCTCATCTTCTCTTGCTCCATCTCTCTGCTGATGGTTTGTTTGGCCTGATACGTCAGCTGGCGGCGCGGAGGCAGGCCTGTAAACCTCACCACCTCCTCAACGCGCCTGCAAACACACACACAGCAAACGGCTAAATACAAACAACAAGAGCCACACATGGTTTACACAAAGCAACACAAACAAGCTCGTAACGTGATGCGGTTGACACAAAGGTAAACCCTGTTAGGTTGCAAACAAAACAACAAAAGCTTCCACTTTTGGTGCCACAGTTCATGTTTTCCAGCATAAAACCCTGAATCTGTCATTCTCTAAAACCTTAATCCTCTTACTGCTGATCTCCAACTCCATCCAACACACAGACGCACACACACACACATCAGTAAACTCTCACTCAATGTCTGATGGACCAATATAGATAATATAGAAACAGTTGTATGGTGAGCTATTTATTGAAAGTAATCACGATAATATATCAGCTGCATTATTCATAGAACTTAGCAAACTGTAAAGAAATAGCTTCATAACGGATTATGCAGCAAATATTAAATAACAGAAATAATAAGCTGAAAACACAGGCAGACACATTACCTATGATATCTGAATGTATATACGACTGCAAGTCTTACATTGTTTATAAGCTTAAGAAAAATCAAGTTACATTTATTAAACTTTACTGAGATTAAGCACATTCACATATCAGGATAGTACATGTACGACTGCAGATTTAGCAGTGAGTGCATTCATCATCCACAGAGCACTGAGAATATTACAACAAACCACAGACAAAAGCACAGTTAAAGCAGAAACAGCTCTCAGTTTTAAAGGTCTTTCAACTCCAACAACTGACTGATTCGGAGTGAATTAATCTTTCTCATCTTTCCTGCTCTTTTTCTCTGCATGTCTCTCTCTGCTCAACCTTCAGAAACCACAATAACATGTCAGAATGTGACCAATCAACAACTGTATCCACAAAAAAAAAGAGCTGTCCCAAACAATAATCCTGTCGGAACTGAGCGTGTCTGCCATCTGTGATGTCAAATGTTTGTATTCACAACTGTGCTCCACGTCTTTATCAGAGAGTGGCGTTGTGATGAGCTAGAGAGGGCAGGTACAGGAAGGTGTAGACCAGCAGCAGCAGCAGCAGAGCGAGCACTAGAGGCAGACACCAGTCGTTGGTGACCAGCACTTTGTCACAGCGAGCCTGCAGGAAGGAACCATTGTGGGCAGCTTGATCCTCCTCGGCCTGCACCGGCATGGCTGAGATGACCGATGACTTATCTCATTTTTATCAGCTCCGGTCTCTGGTGTGCTCAGTCCTCATGAGAGCCAACATAATGAGCAGTGTAGTCCAGACCTGAACCAAAGCGTGTGTTTTCATCATTAATTCTAGTATTCCTTGATATTTCAGACGGCCTCCTGCTTTATCTTTAATCAGTCCAAGTTAACCGAACCAGCCTTTCATCTGCTTGTCCATCCACCTGTATCCCACCGGGGAGGCTTTGCCCTTTGCTACCTCGCTTCATCTCCACGACCATCACACACTCACACCAGGTGTTTAGAGGATTATTCTCTAAGCCTTCATGCAGAGAACCACAGCGTGGGCAAGAGCAGTGACCTTCAACGGCCCACAAACACACATCAGCTCTGCATGTGTCCTCATGAACTACACCGTGGAGTGCAGGGGTGGGTGGGTGTGTGTGTGTGTGTGTGTGTGTGTGTGTGTGTGTGTGTACTCACGGCTCCAGGACATATGTGTACTGTCCCTCAGGTGTGCGGTCCTGCCGGTACGAGAGGTTGTAGGCCAGCATGGTGTCGATCAGCTCATGCATCTGCTCTTTCTCTCTGGTGCTGAACAGCTGTGGATTCACCTGGAAGAAAAACCCACAATCACTCAGGTTTACTGTGAAATTGTAAGCAACACATTTACTTTTTTGCCTTATTTTTTCATATAAAAAACCCACTCACACTAACTTCCAGCTCTACCAAACTAGTCGCGCTGCTCTTGTCCTGCACACCAAGCTTTCTACAGCAAGCTTCTCCAGCTCTCTTGCCTTCATCTGTTTGTTAGAACCCCAACCATTACACCCACCAACGCACGCAACAATAATTCACTAAAAGAAGCAAAAACACTGGCCCATTTGAGCTGAAAATCAGAGCTCAGAATCTTTTCCTGAACTAACAGCAGCTTCCAAAGCACTGAATGTCAAAACCAGCTGTGCACATTCAGTTACCAGGTTATTTAATACACTTAGCTGCAAGTAATGCAGTCTGACACATCAGCCCTGCGATGAAACCTCTTCATGAAGTATTCCGTCTTAGTTCAAACTGTTTCAGAGGGATACTGAATGGACTTCAGGATCACTTTGGAGGCTGCAGTTTGTGCAGCTGTTGAACTGTGTTGACCTGTTTCTGTTTTCTGTGCATTTTGAGGCAACTTCAGGTTTAACTTTAGGTTTTCTGGACTACGACGGTGGTTCACTTCTTACGGCTGGACACTTAACCTGCACCAGAGCATGTTACGAAGCAGATAACAGACCAGCATGTATTGAAACACAGCATACTGACCAATCAGTTCTCTTGACAAATAGCATCTCTATTCCTGGAAGATCACATGGAGCTCAGTGCACAGACAGTGAGAGTTTTTCGAGCTGCAAGCGATTTTAAAGCCCTTACATTGTTCCATATGCCTCTGTAGAGCGACATAATCCTACAATAGAAACTGATTAAAACCCTAAGGCATTATAGCGGCTGCTGACCCTGTAGGATTTACAATAGCTTGCTACTAAAACTGTTTAACACCGCCAAGCAGCTGAGAGAATAGAGCCAAAACTGTCTGTATATGCTATAAGAATGAGACTAGATGTGAAATTATTGAATTCATCCTTTACATCACCAGGAAAATAGCTTTAATTTGTGTTACTAGATTATTTGTTACTTTAAAAATATATCTTTTTTGTGAGTAGCATAATGGAACTATAACTCTATTTTGTGACGCAACCTTGATGCATGATGATAACTGAAGTGAACACTGAGTCCTGAATTTAAAAAAACCTACATCGAAACAACCTGTACACAAGGGAACAGTCATATTGATAAGTCTATTAATTATACTTTCACACAGTCTGCAATTTTTGTAGCTTTCCATCTTTACTTTGGCTGCTGCAGATGTGTTGCATTTACCCTGTACTATGTTCTTCCTAATAATTTGTTTCCGGTTTTCTTTAATTGATGTGTAACTACTGTCTCTGTCGGTGCTGTGCTGCTTCTAGAACTACAATTTCCTACCCTACCAAAGGGATCAATAAAGTTCTGTCTAGTCTAATTCTTAAACTCCTCATATTTGTTTAGAATGACAGTTCATCTTCTTGTGAGAAACATGCAGCTCTAGACCTGTCCATGGTTGACATTTGTTATTACCGCCCCTTTAAAGTGAACGCGCTCATAGCGAGATGCAGAAACCCTGGTGGACTTATTGCGTTGCTAACCTGCTTCATATGACCAAGTAGCTAGACTGCTGCTGGTTGTTTACTGAAGCCAGACAATAAAAATATCCCCTCCTGGATCTGTTGAACTTGCTACGTATTTCACGCCTCAGGTGCTACATTAACAGACACTAGTTCACTATAAATACTTCAACTTACAGGCCGTAGTTTGGGACAGATGATGTCGAGCAGCAGGGTGAGAATATCGAGGGTCAGGCTGAGCTGGCTGATCCTCGTTCTGATGCCTGCTGGGATGTCAGCCAACATAGTGGATAAAGCGTTCCTGCTGCTGAGGAGACGGGTAGAGGCCTGGAGAAGACAAGACGAGAGTCAATCAGTGGTGATATCTCAGTGCTTATTAAGCATTCTGCCTAAAATACCTCATGTATATGTTTGTTTCCATTAATTGTTTTTGTTCATTTAATGTGAGGCACTTCACAGCGATCCACACTGGTGCATGCAGAAGATGAGTACCTCGTGCTGGCTGTGGGGATAGTTGATGCGGGGCACATGTGTGTGGGCAAACAGGAAGTGAAATGTAACGGAGAGGAAGGGGAGGTATCTCATCAGAGAGAAGTTCTGTCCATGTAGAATCTCTTGGTTCACCCTGTCGGAGAACGACAGCCAATCCAGAGCCTCACACACACTGTGAAGGTTGGGGTCCCGCACACGCATGGACAGATAATTATCGTACAGACCCTGAGGAGAAGAGACAACGTCATGTCTACCAGGAGCGTAGCTTACTTGCTGTTTCAGAATTGAACTCAGTCCTGATTCTAGTAAAGCATCAGTCCGTGCTTCCCTTTACAGAGAACAAAGAAAAGAAGCAAAGTATCATATTGAGAAGTTAGTACCTGAGAAACCTTTTCATACTCTCCACTCGATAAAGCCAGATGTAGAATGTGCTGGAACCTCTGAGCTCCACCTCCTGAACCTGGTGTCTCTTCAAACCCCTCACCGATACGTTTTCTGAAAAACACATAGCAGCATCACTGAGTTAGTGAGGAGACAGAATGAGGCAGCACATACAGTAGGTATTTAGAGTCTAGATAAGGTCATGTTTGATATGAAAGTGTTAACGTTTTATTGTTTACATATTACATACAACACACCTGCCAGCCTTTTACATTGTGACAAAAGTTTTCCTGTGTTTTCTGACTGTTTGTGACGATCCTCTGCTCATTCATACCCACAGATCAAAGCACAAAACAAGCCTTTAACACACAACAAAAATAATGCTTCACTGTATTCTAGTTTTGGCCAGATTATAACCAGGGTTTCAATACCACATCGAGTGGAATTTAAAACCTGTTTCACCAGTAGACGAACTGTAACAATATCACTAAACATCCCCGGAATAATCTGCAGATACTGGATGTACAGATGGAATAACTAATGAAAATAACGAACGGGATGTAGAAGTCATTGTTTCAGCATTAACATTGCATCACAGGATCATATTGCACTATAGCGTATATCACAGAAAAAGAAAATGTCACTTTTTTTTTTTATAGTATTCTGTAGCTCTATTAACTAATCAGTTAAAGAGCCACATATTTTAAATAGGTCTGAGTTGCTGGTGATTTTTTTAAGCTTTTGCTAAATTCACATACAAACATTGAGTACATATTGCCTGACATATTAAGCTTCCCATTTTGTTGTCCACAGAAAATTCAGAAAACATGAAACTCTCCTGCCATTTTGCAGATCTTTGCCACATTTCACAATTTCTTTCTGAAAAGACATAAGCAAGACAGAGACAATGGGGACATGCTGATACCGTTTTATACGTGGTAGTTGGAAGATCTCCTGCCACAGATGGAACAGTCCTTTGTTTTGGTCCTTCTGCCCCACAGAGACGCACTGAATCGTCTTGTTGTCCAGATGCTTGAGGCCACGTCCATGCAGGAACTGCACAGCCAAGAGCACATATTGTGTTATAGTTACAACATACCTACTCCCTGTTTCTGCAACAGACAGGCCCTGCTTCACAGCGCTGCCTCCCACCTGTAGTGTGTTGATGCAAGACCGGATGTCGTTGTCAGTCTTCTCACACAGTGACATCAAAGTGCCGGTGTCTGCCTTCAGGCCCTGCCGCTGGGAGATCTGCAGGGAGTTTAACAGTGTTCAATTATTGCTGCATTTGGAAATGTTTGTAGACTTCTGTGACTGTTTTTGTGGCCATGTACTGACCTCTGCCAGTCTCTGTGTGAGGCGGGAAGGTTGTGTTTGTGGGAAATTCAGGAGGAAGGCCTGCTGCCTGAGAGGCCTGAGAGCAGGAACATAGCTAAAGGAAAAGAGTGGTAATCAGAGAACACAGAAGACATCATTTAGATATTTAGTGTTTCCATTTAACAACACAACAAAAATCTACAATTTCCTCCTCGATGATGCTTCAAACTCTCGCCTCTCTTCTCTTACAGGTCGTTACAGATGCAGATGATTGGTCGAAGCAGGATGGACTCTTTCTTCTTTTTCTTCTTTGCGGTCTCTGTGGCGGCCTCCCCACCGTGTCCGTCTTTCCTGTTCAGAACTGCTAACAGTATGTTGATGGCTGCCTGCAGAGCACCACGAGGAAGACAAAACACTTAAAAGAAGGTGGTAATCACAGCTGGTCTTTACTGATTTAAAACAGGGTTCAGAACATACCGAAGGTGCTCCGTCAATCTCATCGATAATGAGGCAGTTCGGCCTCTCGTTGGCTCCTAAAACCGACTTCATCTGTGTCGCTGTGTCGATGCGTTTCTGGAACACCTCCGCGCTGCGATCATCACTGCAGAAATATCAAAAGGTACCACTGAGGTCACAACTGGAGGTCTACAGGACGTCTCATTTTTATTATGAAAACTATCATCTCATCAGTTTTGATTTAGTTTGTCAAACCTGGCATTGATTTCCACCACATTGTACCCAGCATGCTTTGCTATGACATGAGCCAGGGTGGTCTTGCCCAAACCTGGAGGACCAGACAGCAATGCCACCTATGGATAAGACCAAAACAAATTACATGTAGTCATAAAGGTCATTAGATGGAAACTGATATGACAATGCAGACTTTCTACCTTGAATTTGGGCCGTTTGTACTGATCCAGTTCAGCCTCCAGAATCTCCTCAGTTATCTCAACCTTAGTCTTGAAGCGATTTTGATTCTGATTTCCTTGGTTGGGTTTGAATGAGTTCTGATTGGCAGCCGGTCGGTCAGATCGGGCAGGGCGGGACTTCCTCTCTCTTCCAAACACTACAGTGTCCCAAAGCTTCAACCACTTGAGCAGACAGCGGTTGGTAAACTGCAAACAAACAGTCCAACACAACTGATTCTTCACAGTGTCCACAAAACACTCGTCTTTTGTCCAAGAGAACAGCGATTTTATCATTTATAAAGTCACACAAAAACACAACACAGCACTTACATCATCACTGAGAAGCTCTGTGTAGTGCCGAGGAGAGAATCTGTCCACCCACAGTCGAGATGCTCTTCCCTCTGCGTCTTCAGGATCCTCATTCTCTTCGCTCTCAGGCTCAACGAGCACGTCATTCACACTGCTGCAATGTGACACAAATGCAAAAAAAGACAGTCAATGCGTAATCTGTATGCAATCCTGTTCATGCTATGTTTGTCTGGGCGTGTCTGTGCGAGACACAGGTAGTGAGTTACCTGGTCAGCAGCTCTGTAAGACGCTGTGATTCCTCCACAACCTGCTGGTGACGCTGTAAGAATTCAGCGACAGAGAAGACATTAAAGTTTTGGGGGCTTTTCACTTACATTCAATCGAGACAGATTAAAGAGGCATGAGACAGAGCAAGGGAAGGAGATACAAGCCAGGGATTCGCTGCTCAGGGCGCATGTATCCATGTTAGGTCACCCGAAATTTACAGTCTTGACAGCACAGGCTTCATTTTCTTTTATTATGTTCTGCAATTTACTTACAAAGTAGTTTCGAAAATATCGGACGTCTGTAATTCGTCCTGCAGGTCCATTAAAAAAAAAAAAATTACTGTATATATAGTTTCCTACTTCAGCCTCAAAAAAGTTATTGATATTGTATTTTGGTGCTAAAGTCACAAGATTAAATTGGCAACTTTCAAATTAACAAAAACAGATACAAAAAATATTTTAGAGCTTCTGCCAGTGTCTCTTAAACTAGCAAAAGCTTATTATATAACATAGACTTTGTACCATGAGGCAAGATTGTTGTGTTACTCAGCTGTCTTTGGTTTTAACTCAGGTTCTCCTGTACAACAAAGCTGTCTGTCTTTTAACTGGGCTACATCATCCTACTAACTTATGCTGCTCAGCTAAACTGGGGCATGTTCAATATGAAACAATGTGCAATGTTTTGCTACGACATGTTTTTTCGAAACAGTGTGAAACAGGCTATGAGGGATGATTTCTCGTTTTGTATATGTACTAGTGTTTTTTCCTAATTGGCATTTAAATACATATGAACTGCAGCAGCTGCCAGTTTTTCAGTGCTGAACATGATCCTGCATCAAATCAAACTCTACCAATAGCCTGAGTACTGACCAACCAGGAAATACAGAGTCCCTCAAAATTTAACAACATCCAACAACGACCAAATAATGAGGCTAACAGTTACATTTAATCAGACATATAAGCAAAGCCATCTCTTCTCTTATGTTATAATTGTTGGAAATTCGTGTGAATAATCCACACACCGGTGATATCAACTTTTCTTCTCCTCTCTCCAATCCTCTGTGCTTCGCCAGCAGAAACAGTCTCACATTACTTGCTGCTTTACATGTGCATCATATATTCATAATAACTTTATAATAACAAAAAGCCTCTGTACTACAGAAAAAGTCTTGCTCCTATTTATATTCTTAGTCTCACTTTAATAATAAATGTTCAGTCTATTCTAGTCATGCTCACCAGGTAGAATTTTTACTTTTTGTTGTCACTACTAAATGCATCCATGTCAGACAAATAATTCTGATATTATAAAGATAAATCTTTATTTAAAAATAATTGTATTATTCTTTTCTATTCAATGATACATACATGTTTGGACGTAGGGAAAACTTAAAACTTTAAACCTTTAGTACAAGTGGTTACTTAGGGTGTAACAGTGTGATGCAGTGCAGATGAGAAGTCATTCACCTTCTCTGCCTCTTGTTCTCTCAACACTCCTATCGGCACTGCCAGCAGGCCCAGTCCACCCAGGGAGTTTGGTACCATTCTGGAGTCCACTACCTGCAGAGACAAAGTTAAAAACAGAGATATACAGAAACATAACTCACACTATATCTGGACACTAGAGGCATTTAACAGTAAATCAGGTTTTCAGGACAAGCAACATCACAGATGAAGAACTGTGGGAGGTTTGACCTTTGTCCCTGTGTCTTCTTTCTGTCTGAGGTAGACTCGACTCCCTGATGAGTCTGTCACACTGATGTACTCTCCTTCTAAAGGAGGTCGCTTCAGCACTCGCAGGGATGCTGGAGCCGCTGTGGGAGGTCGCCTGGGTGTTTCTGGGATTGCAGCAAAGCCACTGATATCCAACACAGCAGGAGTAGACCTAGAACACAGAAACACGTTCACAAGTCTGTTCTAGTTTGTTTCAAAGGCTGCAATTAAAAGCCATTTGTAATTTGTAATTATTATACATTTAAAAAATAATATATTTATTGTCTAGTGATGTTAAGCGACTGTTACATGGTACACAAGGTCAATGCTATGGTTTTAGCTACTACTGTCTGTCTGAGCAGCAGACAAAAACGCCAGCAGCATTCAAACTGTAATCACATAAATAGAAACACAGCAAATCCTCACACATGACAGAATGCATTGAGTGAATGTAGCCATGATATTTTTACTTCATAAATTCCTTTTTTATTCATAAAAAATATCAAAATTGTCTTTCATTGTTTTTCTGCCAAGTATCTGATCACTTATCTGCATTGCTACAGTATTAGAATGCTTAAAAACACAAGAGTGAAAAAGATAAACTTTAAAGATGTAAAGAATATGTCTACAATCTACACATTTTATGCTCTTCTTCAGGCTAATAAGTACTTCTGTACCTCTAAAACTACACACTGCCATATTTTGCCCTTGCAATATGTTGTTTTTAAATGCATCTTACTTGTGAGTGATTTGAGCATTAATTTTTTTGCATTAAGGTGGCTGCTCCTTTCTTATTTTGTAAAATATTTTGACTTTTTCCCCCTCTGTTTACCCTGTTTATTGGTGATGGAGATTAATAATAACTCTATGTACAAAATAAAAACTGAATAAAGTCACAATAATTCACATGTTAAAGTATTTTAAATCGAAAGATGCTCCATTACAAGAACAATCTTCCACACTGTGTTTTAGACTGACCCACTGAGCTGTAACCGTTTCTGGCTCTGTTTTTTCAGTTTTCCGAATATTCACCAGGTGTCTCTCCTACCTGAAGGTGTTCGAGGGCTCATAGTTCTCCGGAGAGGACGGTGGAGTGATGTCATCATTCTGTGACGGGACTTTTCTCTCTTGAAGTTGTGAGGCGTTGAAAAGCCGCTTGGCCACACCGGTATCCTGCTTGTGTCGCTTTGCCTTTGGAGCTGAGAGATTGGATTTGAGACACAAAGATGTCACAATAATCAAAGGCAACAAGGTCTAAATACACATGAACCCTCAGGGTGAACTCACTGGTGGGGGGCTGATCATCCAGCAGGTGCTCTATGTCTGAGATGTTGTCTCCTGGACCCCGACGCTTCTCCAGTTTGGAAGATTCCTCTATAATGTTCAAGCACGCACGCATGCACACACACACACACACACACACACACACACACACAGTGGTGTCAGAAATCACGACACTGACTGAAGACCTACTCTAACATCAACGATAAGCACTACTTCTCTCACACTAACCCTTGTCCTCACACCTGAACCTAACCAGTCTTTTTAATGTTCAGTTAACATTTTATGACTTCTGTTATGGACACATACATAAATACATACAAAAATTTGTGCTAAACATAACCAGCTGATCAACCAGCTAGTCCATTGCCAAAAAAATAGTACTAGTTACATCAGTGATTAAATAATTTCAGCTATTTGCTTAATTTGAAGACAGTACTTTGAGTTCAAGTACATTTTTCAGCATTTACAGACTTTTTGTAGACTATAAGATTATTAAATTTGGGAAAGAATATCAAGAGATAACCCATTAATATAAAGAATAGTTCGCATAAGTCCAAGATATTATGTTAAATTAGATAGCGGTCTGCATAATGACAGTTTGACATGTGAGCCGTACGAAAATAGTGACATAAACATACAAATGAATGCTCCTAAAATGTGCACAGAACAGACAATAAACCTGGATGGAGAATGTCGAGTATGCATATGTTATGTTGTCATGATTACTATGTGAACCTAAACCTACAACCAGAGTCACACAGAGATGTGTTCAGGGACCAAAGAACAAGGAATCAGATGGTAAGAACCCACAGAGTTTTGTTTTAAACACCATAGTGTCTGATTTAGATTACATGAAAAGACAGAAGACACTGAAAGACAGACTGAATCCACAGAAGAGCTGTGTTGGACTCTCCAACAACCTGAACCTTGAAGGACTTTCTCTGGAGAGGAGGTGCTGAATAGAAACACATGTCAAAGAGCACCAGCTTGATATAGTTTTTTTCGGTTCATTGCTTTGTATTACTGAGTTTTCACACTACCACTTCCTAGCTTCATATGCAGACTCGTAACTAGAGTCTAGGTAACCACAGGTTAAAGTAGAAAACACACATGAAAGTTCCCACTTGAGCTTGTTTTGACTCACCCTCCATCTGAGCCAGCACCTCCAGCTCGTCGGCGAACTGCTCCTCGAAGTCGTCCTGGATCCCGAAAAGTTCCTCATATTCGTCCATTTCGGCTCGTATGATCACACGACACAACCAGCGACACGGCAGCTACTTTATCTATCGACGAATAAACTTAAAAGTGCTGTTTTCATGAGTGTTTCCTTCTTAACTTCGGCAGCAGCTCCGGCAGTGGACGGTTCGCGGCAATTTTTTGTTGTGAAGTATTACATCCGGGTGACGAAAGCGTTCTGTCTTCTGATTGGCTGAAGATGCTCCTCAACTCCCATCATGCACCACGCAGCTGCATAATCGATATATTGGGGTATAAGTATTTAAAGAGAGAAGAAATTAGCATTTTGTCACATTTTAAATATTAAAAATACATTGACACGCAAAAATTAATACAGCCCTTAAATCAAAATAATTGATGTTTAAAATAAACCAACTTTGTTTATGGGTATAAGTTTGCAGCTGGCAACTCAAGGAACAAAATGTGAAGCTTGACCAGGGGGTGGCGCTGTTTGAAAAGTCAGGGTACTGCACAACCAACCTTTATCAGACTGCACTGTTTTTGTTTCCCTTCGTGGTATATACACCAGCTTCCACGTTAAGTTTGTAATTTCACCCTTTGAAAGTAATTTTAAAACTCATTTAGTTGCCTCTAATGATTTTTTTTTTTTGCAACAAACATTACATGAAAATTAATTTTTAATTAATTCATACACGGCAGCAGTTAGCGCTGGGTTTGAACCTTGGCCTGGGATCTTTCCTTGTGGAAATTAATTGAATCAAATTAATTACCTCAAAGGGCTCATAAATACAATTTCTATACTCTACATCCCATCCACACATTTTTCCTTGAAGGGCTCTGAGATGTTTCCATTTCCCAGTAAAATACATCATTAATGGTGTCAGATGAACCCACAATAGCTGATCTGTTGTTCAGATTTTTGTCTGTGAAGAAGCTTCAGAGTTGGTGTCAAGAAATTGTTTAACTAAAAACTTTGAATTTCTACCCAAACTCACTTTTACCTAATCACTAGTGTTTGTTAGTGCGTCTCTTTGATTAATTTATTTCAAAGTAGATGTGAATAAAACTTGAACAATTATTAGTATTAGTCAGATATACAAGCAGCTGCTCCATATTTTGGAAGAGATTGCCAAGTTATCTGAGGATGCATTTCTCAGATCACAGATTTACTTGGCAGTGCTGATGTTATAAATGCATGCAAGTCACCAGGTGACGTAAATAAAAGTAAGATATTAATAAAGTGACTTTTGGTCTGTTTTGGTTTGTGGTTTCTTCACTGCTTGTCTCTGACTTTTAAGCAGCCACACTCTACTACCATAATCATACAAAGACGCTTCTTCTTCTTCATAATGTTATTGTTGTTGTTGTTAATAACAATGACAATAATAATAATAACTGCAAGGTGGCTCGGTGGTTCGCATTCCGGTGAGGACACCCAGGGTCTTTCTGCGTGGAGTTTGCATGTTCTCCCCGTGCATCGTGGGTTCTCTCCGGGTTCTCCGGCTTCCTCCCACACAATCCAAAAACATGTTGAGGTTAATTGGTGATTCTAAATTGTCCGTATGTGTGAATGTGAGTGTGCTTGGTTGTCTGTCTCTAAGTGTAGCCCTGTGATAGACTGGTGACCTGTCCAGGGTGTCCCCTGCCTTCACCCTGAGTCGGCTGGGATAGGCTCCAGCCCCCCCATGAGCCTAGTGAGGATTAAGTGGTGTATAGATAATGGATGGATTGATTTTGTGCTTAAGAGTTGAACATGGAGGCATTAAATGGATTAGGATTAAGCGGTGTATCGATAATGGATGGATAGATGGATGGATGGATGCATCGTACTTTTCAAAACACTCAAAGACACTTAAACAAACTTGCCCCTCTACCTAAACCACCTATTATGACATCTTTATTAAATAACATTCATTTATTTGGGTATATTGGCTACTCTTCCTGTATTTACATCACTATGTAGTGAAAGTAAATATGCTAAAGTCTCTGGAATTACAAAATTGTGTAATGCAAGTTACTGACAAACAATTTAATCTTAAAATTCTTGAAAATGTGAATATATATTACTTTTCTATATGTCATATATTTTAATTTCATTTTTGTTCTCACACAAACCCCTTTTTTTTCTTTATGATTAATGTATGTACAGAATTTGAGACTTTAAGCCTGTTTGTATGTTTAACATAAAGTTGTGACATGAAAACTTGCTTAAAGGTCAAAAATACTAATTAAATCAGTGTCTGGTGGAAACTTACATACCTCTAGCAAACGTATACTTTACTTAGAATGAAGATCTCAGGGGTGTTTCTGATAGAACGTGTGGAGCTTTTACATTTTGTTGTGTGTGTGTGTGTGTGTGTGTGTGTGTGTGAGAGAGAGATTAATGATGATGAGTGTGACGTCAGGATGTCTCCATCACCACCATCTGCTCCTTATAGCAGACAAACACTGGCCAGCAGTTTGTGTGTGACACTGAGTTAATTTCACATCAGGAAGCATGAAAGCAAACCCACTCTGCTCTCCTCTTCCTCTTGAACTTCTGGTCCTCTGATGTTGTCGCTCCAGTGAAAAATGTACACATGTGTTCAGAGTACAGGAACACATTGTCATTTTGAGATAAGTCCAGCAAATGTAAACAAGTCATAAAACATGCAATTATAAGAGGCTGTATCCAGCTGTGGAGAAATAAAGGATTTTTTAATGTATTTATATTTATGTCTTAACATGAAATAATATAGATTTATTTTATATTTTACATCTCACACTTATGACCATAAATCTTCTCATAGGAATATTGTTTCTCCATCATGAGTAAATATTGACTCGTACTATAAAGTGTTTTATGATGTGATTTTAAAGGTATATGACTAACTGAAAGCTATTAATATAGCAAATCCATGACATGTATCACTCAGTATCTGGCTCATTATTATTATTATTATTGGTAATAGTAGTAGTAGTTGTAGTCGTATTAATAACGATAATATAGGAAAAATTACGACAATAACATAAATCTTTTTTTTTTTTTAAGTGATAGAAAACTTGTTTTAAAAAAAAATCTACCTAATATTAAGGTTTAAATATTAAACTAGAATTTAAAAAAAATATATATTTCAAAGTAATTGTATTTATTTTAAATATCTTCTTCTTTTTTTTTTTAAACAAATGTACAGTTGAAACCAGACGTTTACATACACTAGGCATATAACCTTTTTATTGTCTCATTGTCTGACATTAAATCAGACTAAACTTTTCAGATGATGATGTCATGGCTTTGGAAGCTTTTGATTGGTTAATTTACAACATTTGGGTTAATTGGAGGCACACCTGTGGATGTATTTTAAGGCACACCTCAAACACACTGCTTCCTTTTAGATATCAGGAAGAGAATTGTGGACCTCCACAAGTCTGGTTCATCCTTGGGTACAATTTCCAGATGCCTGAAGGTTTCACGTTCATCTGTTCAAACAATTATACACAAGTATAAACACTATGGGAATGTCCAACCATGATACCGCTCAGGAAGGAGACGGGTTCTGAGTCCCAGAGATGAAGTGTTTCGGTCTTTTAGTGTCATATGTTTTTGAACAGCATATGAATAGCACAAAAACCCTAACCCTAACTCAAATAATTCATAAAAAGAAAGAAAAGGGGTTAAATTAAAATTAAAAGGCAACAAAACAAATCACAACAACCCAATAAAATATAATAATGTGAGTTAATGGCTTTTCTATTCTATTGCTTTTGTACATAAAGATAAAAATAATAATAAGAAAAAAGCATTTATTTCTGAAAACACCTAATACATGTGTTGTTTTTGTCAGTCCCATACAGTCATCATATTTTTACCCTGGACAGCAGTGTTTGGCTCATCACCTTTTGTCCACTTGAGATGAATAATGGCTTCAGGATATCATCATATTTGTTACATACCCCCTAAAGTCTTTACCGTACTGTACAATGCTGTAGATCGCTTGCTAAAAGTAGCTTGATGAAACTGTAAACAGCTCAGAAACTTTCGCTGACCCCTCTGAGCACTTACCGGGAGATGTTTGTGTGTTTCGACACTAATGATTATAAACTTGTCATCGCCAATGATTGACTATCTGTGTGTGTGTGTGTGTTTGTGTGTGTGTGTGTCAGCGTGGACTCTGGTCCACATGAGCATCTGCTGTACTCCACTGCTCGGCCACACCGTGCACTCCATTATCCCCTAGCACGGCGAGTGTGTGTCAGGGCTGCAGCAGCCACATTAAGGTGATGTGTTTAATCATCAATTCAGCCAAGGGACGGCCCTCTTCACACTTACATGTAACGCTCTGCCTCAGGCTTTTCGGTAACACAGAGGTCAGCGTGTAGTTCAGCCGAGACGGGACTTTTACCAGCGTGTGTGTTCAACTGTGTGTGTGTGAGGCTGCTGGGAAAGGTTCTCAGTCAGACAGTGCAGGTTTTAGTGTTCATCCTGGTGTTTAGTAGCTGCACAGGTGTTGTCAAGGTTACAATCAACAGGTGTGTGCCTGCAAGAAACGCTCAATACAAGCGTTTTTAGTGTATTTCTGCGTGCGTTGCTGTGAACACTGAGGATGTCTAACTCCACCATCAACTTCTACGCCACGACGCAGTCCTTCAGCTTCTCTGACATTATCGTCATAGTAACCTATTTTCTTCTCAACCTCGCCGTCGGCATCTGGGTAAGAGTCAGAGCTGTGTGTGTGTTTGTGTGTTTTTCCCGCTAATTCCCGTGTCTAACAGTTTTGTCTGTCAGTCATCATGCAGGGTGAGCAGAAATACACTGAGTGGATATTTCCTGGCTGGGCGGGACATGGCCTGGTGGCCGGTGAGTGCTTCTCTTGTGATCTGGGTCGACACAGTGAGATCTTTGAATTGCAGCGTTTTGTCTGTTTTGAGATTTGTAGAACACAGCACAGCAGATTTGAGTTTTCACATCCCAGATAGTAAAGCTGATACACACAGGCTCCAGAAGGAAGTAGCTGTAGACATACGTTCCTCGTACTTTTGTTCTATGAACCACGTTCTCAGCGTAGAACACCATAAATAAGTCAAATCAACTCATCTTTTACTTAATGTCCATATTTGTTTTGCTATATTCCAGTTAAATTAATCTAAAATGTTTGGATTTGGAAACATGAGTTCTTGTAACTTGAGACATTGAATGAGTTGAATGACTGAATAGCTGAGAGTTTACTCAAATTAGGAAATTGAGTTCATACAAAACAAAGTTAGTATATGAGCTGACTTTGTTGTTAAAGACGTAAAACTCCTCGGGGTCACTTGCTTTTTAGTTTGACAGAACAGACATGGTGGAAACTTGCTGTGTCATTAAGTTAAACTAAGCGATGGTTGTTTCTTTTCATAATATTTCAAATAATTCAAACCATGGCATAGGTTAGCAGTAAAAAAAGTCCTTATACTTGTTTACATTTCTACTATGTTGCTGTAACTGATTGTGTTGAAAAGTGCCCTCAGCAGCTGTAACTTGTTAAATGAAGAAGAAACTCCTTAAACTGCTAAAAGTGAAGTAAGTCTGTCTGTTATCATAGTTTATGGGACGAGTTGATTCAACTTAATATCTCACGTTTATTGAACTTGTTTTTTGAAGTTCAGTTAATTTGGCTCATTCAGTTTTACAAACAAAGCAGTAAGATGACTTTGAACTCATTAATCACCCAAATAAATTTTGTTTTAATGCGAAATAAACTTAAAATTGGAACAAATACGAATATTATTTTACATGGCAAGTACCTACAGGCGACAGCACCAACACTTGTACATAGATAAGAGTGTGGACGCAGTGTTTCACATTGCTGTATTTGTACTTTTACTCAACAAGCCCATCTGAGTACTTGCTCCATCTCTGCTGTGCACAGATCGGATCATCTCTCTTTGCCAGTTCAGAGGGTTCGGGTCTGTTCATCGGTCTGGCTGGAACCGGAGCTGCTGGAGGCATCGCTGTCACCGGCTTTGAATGGAACGTGAGTACAAAACACATGTCCGTTCAACAAAAACGTTAGGAGATGTTGTTTTAACGTATCTAATAATAGTAGCACAACTCATTTGTAGGGTGGAATGAAGCAGAGCTCGTCTGCTAATCCATCTAGAAGCTATTTCTTTTGTGTGCTGGAAAGAAAAACATGGATGACGAAAATTAATGTGTCTGGGAAAAGAAGCTCATTAGATGTTATCCTATATACTATACAATAGGTAATTCCTTTAACTACCTCTTTGATCGTGGCTGTCTAGACCAAAAGAGATTACATGTTGATTGTGGTGTAAGTTTAGTTTCCTTCAACATCATGCAGCAGAGGGCAGCAGCACAACTCTTACATACCATTCATCTGTGTTACAAGACCTGAATCAGTCCATGAAATTCTTGTACCTGAAGAGTTAAAAGGTTCCCTGAAGTCTGACTGGTGACATTTTTCCTCTTGAGTGGACTGCTGTGGTCAATCTGGTCAAACACCTTTGTTTTCTCTTTGTCTCCCTCCCTCCCTTCTTCCTCCTCCTCTCAGGCCACCTATGTGTTGCTGGCTCTGGCCTGGATATTCGTGCCTGTCTACATCTCCTCAGGGGTTAGATTACACATATGCACACACACACACATACACACGCACACACACACACGCACACACACACACACAGGTATGAGTGTGCGTCTGCTTGTTAAGGCTAGTTCTGCAGGTACATTTAGGTGCCAAGAGACTTCTCTCTAACAAGGATTCTCCGCCTTGTAAATTCCCCAGCAGGGTGTTGCTGGGGCTCACCGAGCTCACGACTGTCTTCTAATCACAAAAACCATAAATTAGTCCATTTCTCTTTGTTGCTGCACAATTATATTCAAACCATGGGAAGTGCAAACATGTTAACTGGCAAATCATACTGAGCTCCAGGAACCAGTGGTGGAATGTAACTAAGTACATTTACTCAAGTACTGTGCTTCAGCACAAATATGAGATACTTGATTATTGGAGCATTTTCTTTTCATGCCACTTTGTACTTCTACTCCACTATATCCCAGAGGGAAATATACTGCTTTTAACTTCACTACATTAATCTAACAGCTTTAGTTACTTTACAAAATAGGTTTATACAAATACAGCTGAGACAATTAGTCAATTAATTGTTAGAAAATTGGAAACTATTTTGATAATCGTTGCTATAATAGCACTATGATGATCAGTGCTTTGAACTATTTTTAGACAGGGTTGGTTAATCATTACTTGCGGTTGAATACAAAATAGTTTAAGAAAGTCTCCAACTTGGCCAACAACAACAACAACAGTAAAATCTTGCTTTTACACGAATGCATGGCTATGCTTACTAATAATCCACTGATATAATATATAAAACAGTCACAGGGGACATTTTTCTCAATTCAGTACTTCTGCTTTAGTAAACTAAGTACATTTTTGTGATAATACTTACACAATTTTCCCTGACATTTTCAAAACAGGACTTCTACTTCGAACATGTACTGAAAATGTTACCACAAATAAGACAAAATATCATACTGTCTTTTTACAGTGTGGTATTTTGGCTTTAGTAAAAGTTGTGAATATTCTCCACAACTGCCTGAAACCTTCAGGAGCTTCTTATGTTTGCCTCTGTGTGTTCAGATCGTGACGATGCCCGAGTACCTGGGACGTCGATTTGGAGGAGAGAGGATCCGAACCTACCTGGCTGTTCTCTCCCTCATGTTGTCCGTCTTCACAAAGATATCAGTATGATAATGTGGCACTTACAGAAAATCCATTTGGCTGCAAAACTCTCTGCTATGAGATTAAAATCTTCTTGTGTTGTTTTTTCTGCCAACCAGACTGACCTGTACTCCGGAGCCTTGTTTGTTCAGGTGTGTCTGGGATGGAACCTCTACCTGTCCACCATCCTCATGCTGGTGGTCACTGCTCTCTACACTATTGCAGGTACAAGATTTTATCATTCACAATTTGATATGTAGGACTCTTAAGGGCTTAAGTCAAGAACGATTTTGATACTTATTGTCAATAACATTAATAATAGTAATGAACTTTTAAAGTATTAGGCAAACAGAAATGTCAAACATTCACTGGCTGCAGCTTCTTAAATGTGAGAATTGATGTATTGTGGTTATTATTTGGTTAAAACAAAACAATATCTGCCCTTCTTCAATTTCTTACATTTTCAGACTAAACCATTAATAATTGCTCAGTAGGCAAAACAATCTAGAAATAACTCCTCTTGAAAACGTTGACAAACTTCCTTTCAGGTGGCCTCGCTGCTGTCATCTACACAGACACTCTACAGACATTCATCATGATTGTGGGTGCAATTATCCTAACAATTACTGGTATGTGCGCTTCCCATCACTCAAAAGCAGACACAAACTATGCATACAAATTTGCAGATGCACTCAGCAGTTGTTTTAACAGTTGTGTGGCTGGAAACGTGTGTCCGTAGCTTTCAACAAGATCGGTGGCTACAGCAACCTGGAGCGAGTGTACAGCATAGCGGTGCCCAGTAAGATTATTCCCAACAGCACCTGCCACCTGCCTCGGCAGGACGCCATGCACCTGTTCAGAGACGCCGTCACTGGAGACCTGCCCTGGCCCGGCATGACGCTGGGGCTCACCATTCTGGCCACCTGGTACTGGTGCACCGACCAGGTACGTTGAAAATATAGAGAACACCACATACTGTTGTTTAGGAAAGTATTCAGACCCATTCACTTGTTGAACATTTTTATAATGTTGTAGCTTTAATTTTAAATGGCTAAAATCTATGTTTCCCCATCAATAATAGTCTGCTCTCAATGATCCATATGGAAAAACTGAAGTCTTGTTTTTGAGAATGATTGCAAACTTCCTAAAAATCTAAAACTCTCATTTACAAAAGTATTCAGATCCTTCATTCAGTACTTCGTAGACGCCCCTTTGCCAACAGTTACAGCCTTGAGTCTTCTTGGTCTGTGAGCTGCCATCTTCAGGTCTTTATTCAAATCTTACTTTTTTTTTTTTTTGCTTTATATATGTGCCTTCATGTATCTTTTTTTTGTCACCCCTTTTATTTGTCTGCATTCATTCTCCCTTCAACTCTGACCAGTCTCCCTGTCCCTACCACTGAGAGGGTACCCACATAGCATGATGCTGCCACCACCATGCTTCACTATAGGGCATGAGCAGTGTCTGGTGTTTGCTCAACATAGTATTTGAAGTTCTGCCCAAAGAGTTCAGGTTTTGACCTGTTATTCATGCTCTCTGTCCTTTAAATGCAGTCTGACAAACATCAAGACCATGTGCCTTTTGTTTAAGAGCAACTTTCATCTAGTTGCTATGCTGGAGAGGCCCGATTGAGTGCTGCTGAGATTATTGTAAATTTGGTAGATTTCTAACCCCCAAGAAGTTCTGATGCTCTGGTAGAGTTACTTTAAGGTCCCCGGTCACCTCCCTGATCAAAAATGTACTTGCTTGATACTCAGTTACAGGAGGCCGGACAGCCAACTTTATGAAAAGTTCTTGGGTTTCCAAACTTCTTCCATTTCACAACTATTGAGGCCACTGTTCTCCTGGGAACATTTAAAGTTTTGGAAAAAAGTTAATACCCTTGCTCTGATCTATGCCACTGTTTAATCATGGAGATTCACAGAGAGTTCTTTGGTTTTTATTGCTTAATTTTTGTCTTGAAAAAAAAAGTCAATTTTGGAATTTTATATACACAAATGTGTGCTTTTTCAAACTTTGTCTAGTTCATTTCTGTGCCGCAGGTGGACTGCAATCAAGTTCTAAACGCATAACAAGGATTATTAAAGAAAACAAGATGAATACTTTCTGAAATAACAGTATACAAGAAAAATAGAGGGAAACCACTCTTATGTTGAAGTGTACTCCCTCCTAAGGCCATAGGGAGTTTGTTCCCATTACTGTAACTAGACTGAGGTAATTTGAAAAACTCCGGTCTTCTCTGCAAAAGCACAAAAATACTAAATCAGTACCATTAAAAATATTTGCCCTGAATATCTGCAACTGTCCAAACCGTGGAAAACCAGAATGCTCATATGTATTAACCCCATGCAGGTAAATTGAATTGTAATTATATCATGGTTCTCACAGAATAAGGAAGTTCCTGTGAAATATAATGTGATGTTCCCATCGCTGTTTGCTGTCCTTTGCTTTTCTCCTTACAAATAATGATGGGTAACTTTAGCTTTATCCTTACTACTTGCCCTGTTAGACTCTATTCTACTAATGTGGCTGCGTCCACAAATCTCAGGAAGAGAAAAGAGGTCAGGTTCCACCCTTTTGCCCAGATGATGATTTTGTGCCAAACCAAAACTCCAGGCTTCAAAGGTCCTTTTTAGAATTCAAAAAGCTACAATTATATATAAAAAAAATGTTGCAGTCTATGAGGCAAAGGCAGATATAATTTAAAATACCTTGCTTTGCTCATACAGAGTCGTCTGGGTAAGCTTTAGATATGTATTTTCACTTTTTGTATGATAAACTTTCAAACATTTAGATGTATACTACAGATAGACTCATCAATGAGCTACTGATTAACTGAAGTGGCTGAAGCAACAATGGAGACAGTTCAGCAACAATCTTTGTTTTATTTACAACATTCACTTTTGGTCCCATATCAGTGTTTAATTTTGCAGGTCATCAATGACATCTGCCAAATATTTAAAAGTAATCAGCATGGCAGTCCATTCCTCTCACTATCAGTAACCAGTCACAGTGGTTTCAACACTAGAACCTGACTTGTATGAGTGAGTAATCTGGTCTTGCATATCACAGAAACACCACATCTGTGTCGTCTGACATGAAAAAACATTACAGTATGAAATTCTACAGAGGAAAAGCAGTTGAGGTAATTTAGAAAATATTTGTTGAAGGATTATGTACAAGACTTGAGTGGCTGAGTTGGCAGAGAAAAACATCCCAGCTGACCAAATATGGTACCGCATCTGCTAAGACTGATGTCCACAAAACACAAAATGGGAAAGAGCCATGCCCTGCTATTTAGGCATATGTTTGTAAACACAAATATCACCTCATACATTATTAACAGAGATTTTTTTTTCTAGCAGATGTCTCAGTATCTGCATGTAAATTCATCACTAGCCAAACACTTTGAAAAATGAAACCTGAAATCTAGAAAATGAAAATCAAAGAATCCCAGTTAAGTAGTTCTCATATGTTGCACCCAAGGATTTCACAAAAAGAAGAAGACAGAAAAGATTCCATACTCCGTGTCACCAAGTCGGTCATCAAACATCCTGGTTTCCCTGCACTGACCCACAGTTCTACCTAGCAGCCTTGTTATTCTGAGGGGCCTTCTTCTGCGGTGCTCCTCCTCGCGCCTTCAAGTGTCTTAAATGGCTGACTTTTGAGAACGATACTCCTAGTAAGCCTGACTGGTTGGTTGGTGGCTGCGGTGATATGCGGTCCGTCTTCCTGTAACCTGGGCTGTGTCGTCTTGGCGACCGCCCAGAGCGGGGCTCTACACGCAGCTGGGCCGAGTCGGGCTGCAGCATCTGGCCCTGCCAGTAACGGTGTCCTCCTATCACCGGACCGGCTGCTCGGGTAGGGCGATGAAAACTTCCTGGTTTAGCGATGACTACTTTTGGTCCTCTCAGTCTCGCATCACCACCCGGAGATGTAGAGGTCTGAAACAACTAGACAGAGAGAGGAAGCAGAGAGAGATGAGTAGAACTGTAAATATTCCACTACTGGTTTCACACAAGGAGCACCTCAGGGGTCAATCCTTGATCCTTTAGGCTTCATTACCCCTGAGCTCAAACATTTATAAAGCATGTTTTCGGTTTCTATTTTGATGCTGATGAATTCTAAAGCTACTTCTTGTTCGATTCAAATGATACTACAGGACAAGTTAAAAGTTGGATATCAAAGCCTCCTTCAGCTAAATCAGAAGTTTTAATCATAGTTTCAGATTCTAAAGTTAAAAACATTTGCTGAAACTTGTGTAGTTCCTTCTCTTTAAACACGTAGCTGTATTGCACAAATACCTGATTTGGTAATAACATTATTATTATATAATATTAGCTTCATAGCTAAACTTACACTAAGACACTTTGACTTTCAGAATGAAAGCTCGTTAGCAGAATGGCTCCATCAAGATATTAAATGCTGTAAATGGTGAGACAGCTCAAACTGTCAACACCAAAAACCATGATAGCAGTGCCATGTTAAAAAAATATATGAAAATATCATGCTCGAGTTGGTAGTGCATGAAAGAAGTCTTTGTCCATCACTGCAGTGGAAAATATCCCCTTCGAAGCATGAAACCTAGAGGGTACTTTCACGATTACATTTGCGAATGGTTTTATCTTCTTGTAAACTATGGGACAATGTGCCCACTAGCAGCAGTATCATTTTAGTTTTACTATTCAGCATACAAACAGTATGACGGCTTCAAATCTTTACTTGACCTAAAATTTTGTCGGCTATATAAATCCTGTTGTTCATGTTTCCAAAAATCAAACTGTAACCTGTCGTTTTATTCTATATATTTCCACGAGACAAAGTCAGTTCGATACAATAACACTTGTGTCAATAAAAACTATTCAAGCCTCTCTCTCTCCTCTCTGTCCTGAGCTCCCACTAGATGAAAACAGTCACATGCAAATTCTTCAAACATGCCGAACACAGTCAAGCAGCAAAAAGTCAAAATTCCCTTGTGGCTTCTCACAGCTTCTACACTCCACTCTCCTCAGTGAAAGTCCTCTGTTTAACCCATTAAGCCACCCCATCCCCTTCCACTATGGACTTAGCTGCTCTATGGACTATCTCACCTGATCTCCTGTCTAAAGCCTGTAAACAGACCAAAGAGGAGGTTTCCTCTCAGACCACTATGAAACTTTTTGCCATTATACATAAAAACAAAAAAACAAACAAACAAACAAAAAAACACCTGTTTTAACATTTCAAGAGAGCTGAATCAAGGCTGGGCTGCAAGGTGGATCGGTGGTTTGCACTGTTGCCTCACAGCAAGAAGGTCGCTGGTTCGCATCCCGGTGAGGACACCCGGGATCTTTCTGTGTCGAGTTTGCATGTTCTCCTCGTGCAGCGTGGGTTCTCTCCGGGTTCTCTGGCTTCCTCCCACAAGTCCAAAAACATATTGAGGTTAATTGGTGATTCTAAATTGTCCGTAGGTGTGAATGTGAGTGTGCTTGGTTGTCTGTCTCTAAGTGTAGGCCTGTGATAGACTGGTGACCTGCCTTCACCCCGAGTCAGCTGGGATAGACTCCAGCCCCCCGCGATCCTAGTGAGGATTAAGCGGTGTATAGATAATGGTTGGACGGATGAGTCAAGGATACTCACAAGATCAAATAGAAAAAAGATTACATATCATTGAAAGCTCAACAGCAGACTTTGAGATTTTAATGATCAGCTTTAAGCCACATGCAGGCCAGGACACAGATTATACTTCTGATCTACTAAACCCTCTCCTAAAAGAGTCTATTTTAGAGTTATATTTTCTTAAATTCATTATTTTGTGCATTTTTTGCAGCATTTATTTTTGTCATGTTACATAAGACTTGACAATAAATCCTATTGATTTACATTTCATTGCACTATACATTTCTTTGATTCCTTGTCCTTTGAAAAGTGTTTCAATAAAGTTTTGGGTAAAGGCTAAATATTTGTGTTTCTGTATGTGAAGGTTATTGTGCAACGGTCCCTGTCCGCTAAGAACATGAGTCATGTGAAAGGAGCATCCATCCTGGCTGCCTATCTGAAGATGCTGCCCTTCATCTTTATCGTCCTTCCTGGTATGATCAGCAGAGCTCTTTATCCAGGTATGTGCACACGTATGTGGGTGGACATGCACGATCGTGTATACGCGCACACGCTCTATTCAATCAGGAAAAAAAAGGAGGACATTTTTACTGTAAGCAGGTAGAGACTTGCTTCGAGTCCTGTGATGAAACACACCCACTCTGACATAAGTTTGGACTAATGTGTGTGAAAGAGTCTTTCCTGTAACGCTGGACTGTTACTGAATTGCGCTGCCTACTTGTTCATGGCAAGTGTAATTTCTGGGAACTGTCTATTACTCATTAAGCTTTAAAAAGGCGTTTAAAAATGAAGTCACGCACTGTGTCATCTGTGACAGCACCTAATCATTTTAACCACTAAGGATTAATCCAGTTAATCGTTTTTCAATTAACTCATTAAAATTTGTCTTCAATATGTGAGAAAATGAAGGAAAATACTTACAGCTCACAGTAATGTCTTTCTAGTGCTCATTTTGTCCAATCAAAAGTCCAAAAACCAAGATATTCAGTATGCTACTACACTAAATAGATAACCATGTGTTCTCATAACAAACCCGCAAATAAAGAATTACTTACTGTGATTATTAAGTTATGTAGCTAATTTTCCGTCAGTCACTTATACAAATTATTCTTTTCCTTATCAGTGAATGTGTTGGTTATTTCAACTGAACAATGCAATGATATAAGCCAGAAAAAGCAAAGAAAAGAAACTTGATTTGATAAAAGATTTGCCCATTCACTAATTCACTTATTGTTTCAGCACGATCAGAATAGTGAAATCATTGTACTGGGCACTCACCTGTCCTATGTGCCTGTGTGGAGAGGGGTATCCTTGTCTGCGCAGCTGCTGTGATTGGCGGAGGAGGGCAGTGCTATCCTCTGATTGGCTGGGCTCCCGCAGGTCCAGCATGCTCTGAGAGAGGCGGGCCATCACGTTGAACCCGTCTCCTTGACGAAGCCCTCGGCCTGACCCTGTCGTCGCTGCATTGGCCAAAGTGCCATTTAGCTCCTGCTGATTGCAATCGTAAAACTCCTCCTCTGATGCTGTGGAAGCACTTGAAGGATGGTCATTGCCTGCTCGGTCACAGATCACCTTGGTGCTGTCTTGGCTGTCGTCACCATTACTGCCGGAGTCCCTGTCATAGTCGGGTGCTGATGTTAAGCGGCCACGGCTGTGTGTCCTCTCCTTCTCGGGTTTTGTTTTGTTAAGCGAGCCGTCTACTTGGTCCATTTTTATCAGAGTGATCTGCGCTTCGCCAGGCTGCTCTGAGGGGGCGGGGTCAATGACTAACTGCAGCGTGCGGCGTTTGGGAACAGGAGGTGCTGCAGTTTGTGTCTCTGGATTTGGTGTAACAATGTCCGTTTGGTTTGAGTCAGCTGGTGGTGCATTTGGTTTGTGTGTGTCCTGTGTTGGAGGTGCGTTGGGCTGTTGAGGGGAAACTGTGCTATCAGTTTGGTCTTTATTTGGTTTGTTGGTTGGACTCACAGGAGGAGTTGCTTCAGGGCTTGTATTCTCAGAAGGAGTTTCTGTTGTCCCTGCAGCTTGTGTGTCCTGACCTGAAGCCGATTTCTCTTTCTGGGCTGGCACTGTCAATGGTGAGCTGAAGCGTATAGCCTGACTAACCTCAAACCTCTCTGACCTCTGTAAGTGAACCTGATTGGCCCGCTTTTCATCCCTTATGTTGATAAAGCCAATCACATCACTTGGCGGATCTGGCTCTGGCCAGGTGGGCAGGTAAGGGATCAGGTATGCTTTCTCTAGATTGGCTAATCCCGGATGTATGTGTGACTCTTCAATAACTCCCTTAAGACGTCCTTTCATCATTTTTAGCCCAGTGGGATTCTGGGAGCTTGAGTTCTTGTTGCTGGAGTTCTGGTCAGAGGAGGAGGGGCTTGTGTGGGTACCCGTGGCAACAAGGGCATATTTGGGATTGATGAGCTTCCTAGCAACAGAAGCTGGTACAGGAGCAGGAGCCGCCACGGGGATCGGGTCAGGGATTGGTTCGTCTGCCAGGGGAACCTTGCTGAGAGACACACCTCTGGACACGAGGTAAAGGTCACGAAACTGCAGGTCGAAGGTCTCCACTGCCTGTCCTGTGATCACGGTGATGAGGTTACGATCCAAACGAGATGAGGACCAAGTAAAGCTGGAATAAAGCAGAAATATACACACATTTATCACAGTAAATCTCCTGTTGTTGTTCTTCAAACATCTTCTTTTACTAAATTTATCCCAGTTCGTGTTTGTTGCACGTGAACTGCTCGTGTTTAATGAAAACACCGGATTTCTAGTCTAACACAGTTTAATCATTACATTAGACATCTGTACTCTCTGATGTCATACATCACATTATGCTCTTTGGTCTTATTGTATAATTGTCCCTCCACAACTTCCTGGTAGAGCAAGGCACACAATCTATGAGAGTAAGCAGAAATATTGGTGTGTGTCTGTGTGTGTGTGTGTGTGTGTGTGTGTGTGTGTAGGCGTGTGTGTGTGTGTGTATGCGTGTCGCGTAAAATCTGCCTAATTTTCAGGAGTTGGCTCTGAGTAACAGCCAAGTTTGCAGCAACATGTGACTGCTGGTTCCCAAGGCTTTAAAAACTGAGCTCATTATTATGTCACAGACACAGTATGTAATGTTTACAGAACTGCAGCATATTTTAAGCTTATATTTGTAGAAAAACGAGATCTGTCTGTGCTTTCACTATTTGTCTCAGTGTTCCTATGGATGTACTGGTGTACAATGCTGTTAGTCTCAGCATCTTTCTTGATGCTAACACTCGGAGATGTTGTGAATTTTCAAAATTTAATATGTATTTAATTTATCAATGTCTTCATTTTTGTGACAGCTTGAGAACTGGGCTACAAACCGGAAACATCGATAAATTATTCATAGAAAGTTGTTGTGGCGAACGTGTTAGCAAGCAACATTCACTTTTTTTCTTTTTTTTTTAGCTGTGCTTAGCTTCCCATCAGTGGCTGAGAAATAGATATGGCTCTGTGTGTGCTAAATACTCTTCTTTGTTCATCCCCTAGTCACTAACTTGTCTGTCTGCCATTTTATGTTGGACAGGATGCGTAAAGAGCTATTTCCTGCTCAGCTGGAAGCTTGTCGACATCTGATAAGAGATTGAGACTAAACCAAACCCGTACAGTTACAGATCAGAAAACCCAAACTATTATCTGAAAGACACTAAAATGTCCTTTAATGCAGACAACAGCTGCAGAGTTGGGTGATTACTTTCTGGGGCTTTTTTCTTTTTACTTTGAACCGCCATTTGATTCATCGCTAAGTACAGATTAGTGCAGCTTTATATACACAAAGAAATGGAGCATGCACAGTCACAAGACACTGCAGCACATTGCTCACCTGTATGAACCGGAGATGGCTCTGTCTCCATCTACCAGGAGAAACTTCTGGCTCAGAGATCCTCGCACCTTCTGTGCCGATCTTGTGAAAAACTCCACACCTCCACAGCAGCGAACCCGCAGATTCTAAAGACACACACATACTGGGTCAATGCTGTGTAAACTAAGGCTTGGCGGGTTTAAGCATTAATGGCAGGAAGGACTTTAATGAACAAAAGGGGAAATGAAGGCAACAGAATGGGGAGAGAGAGAAGAATGAGTTACTCAAGAATTGGCGCTCAGCATTATTACGACCGTAACCTCAAGTTGGGTGACTGTGCAGGTTGGAGCATGGGCTGTATCTATGTATGTGCATGCTTGGATGACACACCCTGTGGTGTTTTTCTTCTGCCCTGTGATAAGGGTGTGGTTCCAGGCTGAGCGTTACCTCGTAAGTAAATGTTCTGTGAGAAATCTCACAGGAGTCACTAACCAAAGGAGTCGTAAATGCTCATAATAACAGCACAGATGTCAGATAAGAAAGAAGTCGAAAGAGAGCGTATGGCTCGTGGTCAATGCTGTGAGGAAGGAAGAAGGAGAATTGAAAGAGAAACACATTACAGAAAGTAAAGTGGGGAAATATGCGGTTTATTTAATTGCCTACAGCACAGACAAGAATGTGCTTAGTGTCTTTTTGGCCTCCAGTCTAAAATATTTAGAAAATTCCCCTCGAAAGAGTAAGTATTATCTGTTACTGCCTAGACCAGTTCAGCTCAGAGAGGCAAAAAAAAAACAAAGAAACTTAGCATAAGTCGATCAACTAGCTGATGCATGCACCTTACAAAGGCCTGAAGGCAAAAAGCTGTCAACTTGCCTGCAGTTTCAAATATTTCCCTTGTATAGTAATATTATGACTGAAAATGCATCTTTAATAAAATCATTATTATTTGAAACACTGAAACTGGAGCTTTTCAAAACAAGAATTTTCCATTATTGTATAGTTATCAAGGGTAGCCATCTATCCAACTGGCTCATCTCCCAGCTTAACAAAACATCACATGTGCGTGTGTGTGTGCGCACACAAACCTTTAGGTGTCCACGGTGCATATCAGCTCTGGCACACATGGAAAGAAAGCAGGGGACTGCAGCCATGTCGATGATTATGTATACAGGAATTCTGCGTTTGTAGGATGCATCCAGCAGGTCTCGGAAGATATCCACATCTGTAAACACATCCATCACCACTGCTATCACCTACACACACACACACACACACACAAACAAAACACACAGACACACACAGGAAACCACAAATGATGTTATTGTTTCCTAGTCTGTGAGGGTGGGATCGATTTAAGCTGCTCTTATCAACAATAATATATCCATTAAATCCACAAAAGGAAGTGGGGCACTTATGAGAGCTGAGTTTGAACAACAAATTAAAGCTGAAATTTCTTGCAGCTCAGAAACTAGATGTTCCTCAGAGAGGCTGCTAGAAACAAAGAGTGTTTTACAGAGGGGTGATAAAATGTGAGGCCAGTAGACAGTGTGTGTTCGACAGCGCAGCAATATTAGTGGCAGGATGGTAGTCTTTGCCTGACCTAGTTTAAAGTTGAAAACTGCAGACTGAGGTACAGTTCACTCACAATGACTGACAACTGACAAAAAAAAAAAACAGCTCTGGAAGAAGACAGCTTGTGAATCTTGAGGTTAAAATATTTTACTGAACATTTTACTGCCAAAATACTTGAGTACAATAAAACACTGCCTTGCCAATCCCAGAAAAAGCTAGAAAAACTACAGACGAGTATGTTCCAAGCCGTAAAATTGTGCTTTGTGTTGGAACTGAGTCAAATTAATTAAAGTCTCAATGTCTCTTTTGTTTTTCTGGTGCAATGCTCGACTGCTTTATGAGCATGTGCCAGCATTTATGTATGTGAGAGGTAAAGCTGATGCACAAGGTGTTGGCATTTGACATATGCGGTGACGTCAGAGCCTTTTTTTTCCACTAGCGTGTCAAGCTCATTAAAACTTTGTTGTGTGCGTGTGTGAAGGTGGCACATGTAGGAAGGGGAAGTAGATAAGTGAGACCAAGCCGAGGCAAATAATGAGACGAACAGAAATCAGTGACAATGGGCTGAATTCATTCCAAATAATGCCGTAGCTGGTAGTCAAACCTGTGATCAAAATAAACATCCTCATTATATCAGTCATACACAATATAACATAAAACAGTGGAAACAATGACACTGAGTTGCACCTAATTAAAGAGTCATGGCTACAACTAACAATTACTTGACAGTGAATCTGCTGATTATTATTCAGTTCAATCAACAACTTTTGTCTGTACAATATCTAAGATCAGTGAAATATGCCAAATATACTTCTCAGATGTCAGTGACACGTTCGATCCCTTGTTTAATCCTTCCATAAGAGTTGGAAACTCACAGATCTAGAGATAACTATGATAAATGAGAGAAAAACCAGACAATGAATGACAAAAAAAAGCTGGAACCACTGAATGTTTGGTGTTTTTTTGTAATTAAAAAGATTAATCAGTTATCAAAAGTTGTCCATCAATTTCTTGTCAATCTACAAAAAAAAAAAACACCTTATTAATCATTTCAACTCTCAATGCAATAATCCTGCACCATCCTTTATTTTTGTCATACAGGCGCTGCTTTGGAGTTTGTGGTGAACTGCGAGCAGAACCAGAATGTGTTGTGGTGCATTCATGGCACTGTAAAAATAAACCTGAGCTTCTGCCACTGTGGCTGTTCGTGTTGACTCAGTACTGTGGTGCATTTTAAGCCTCCATATTGTTGTGTTTGTCCAACAGTTTTGCTACACAAATTGAGGACCGAACTATAAATACCTATAAAGACATGACCAAAAGTGTGCTAATTAGTGCTAAAACCTAAAAATAAAAACAAAGGTAACAAGTTGTTTCATGGTTTAACTCGGGTTAAGTTTTGGTGGAGGTCCTGTGACTCTCATTTATCACTGCAGTGTACCATCGTCCTCTCACTGCCTACCTTCTGGGCTGATGCAATGCTCTTCCGCACCACCTCCTTGATGTGAGTGTACCCATCGGTGGGAGGCTGCGTGTACACGGTCACGCGTGTGACCCCCCGGTATGAGATGGACTCGGGCCAGCCCAAGTCCAGCTCCGCCACCGAGGCCTCGGAGCGGTCGGGCCAGTACTCGAGCGACACCTCTCCGTCTTCTGCTTCCTCCCCGAACCCCGGAGTCACGTTCCCGGGGCCGGGCGTGTCTGGCTTCTGGTGGTGCTCGTAGCCGGGTCGGTAGGCCTCCACCGTGTGCGAAATCCGCTCCAGCTCCGGTTCCGACAGGAACTCCCGGAGGCCAGTCTGGCGGAGGAAGTCCATGAACGCATCGCGGCCGTTGGTGACGAGAACCTCGAGCGCGAGCCGCTGCTCCTCGCTGTAGAAGAACTCCGGTTTGCTCTCACTCACGCGCCAGTTGACGTGGTGGTCGTCCAGACACTGGATCTGAGAGAGCGCCATGGTCCCGGTTCACCGGCCCCGGTACACTGCCACACGGTCCCTAACAAACTCTAGAGCACTCTGACCCGGTTTCCAGCCGTCCGTCCGTCCGAAGGGTCAAACCTGGAAAAAGTCATTACGGTCCATACTGTGTCCTCGTGACCCGGGCTGAGCTATGAAGGGATCCGTCCGGTGGGAGAGTCGTCGGTGTGAGGGGAAGCAGCCGCTGTCAGCTCCGGCTCTCAGGTTACTACTCTCACTCAGGTGTTGTCAGAACAAAGCCCCCCCGCCCAGCGACACGCCTTTCACCTGACAGGGGCCGGATCTGTGCGGCGGCGGCGGCGGCTCGGCTCAGCAGCGGCAGCGGCAGCCCCAGGGCCCGGCAGACACAGAGACAGGCAGCTGTCTGGGTGGATGATGTTATTGTGTGTCTGCCAGTGAGTCAGTCCGGAGCGGAACACGCAGTCGACCAGAGAAATAAGTCATTAATCCTCCTTTAAAAGTGTTGAAACTCAGTGTGACTCAGTCCAACTGTTGCGCTGACGAATCACTTTCCTCTCAGCAGTGAGCTGCGGCTCACAGATGTTCAAACATGGCAACTGCTGACTTCCCCGAAACACACACACACAAAAAAAGTCGTAAATATCACCAACGTGGCGCGACCGAGTCTCGGCTCCACTGAGTTCACGGTAGTTTGTCTGTTTCGTATCCTTAAAGCGTCCCTGCAGAGTCAGAGTTCACGGAGGTCCAGCGGTCTGTGTCTGACCCTGGAATCCGGCAACGGAAGCTCGGTTACCGGGTACAGAGAGGAGGAGCGTCCGGTAGCTGGTCTGGAAACTCCACCCTCAGTCTGGAAGAAAGCTTTTCTCACCCCAAATCAGAATCTTTAAGAGAAACTGTAGTCACTAGGCCAGTGTAATAGGTTTAACTGACACTTCCTTGTGTTTTTATCCACTGTGATTATTGACTAGTCCTCTAAGTTAGGACTCATAGTTTATTTTTTTAGGCTAACTGATCATAATGATTTATAGGAGAAGTATTAGGCATAATAAGTTGGACTAATATAGTATATATCTGGTTGTATAGATAGTGCAGATACTCAGGTTATTAAGTACTGATAGCAGTTAAGCAAAGATAAAATTAGATATACTTTATTGGCCCTAAAGGAGGACTGGTCTCAGGAAGTAATGCTAGTTTTACAGCTTTGTACAGCTACATGTAGAAAACACCTAAAACGTACATATACGTCCACACAAATGTACAAACATAAGTAAGTCTCGCACTTGTAAAAGCCCCGTATAGTACAAAACAGATCAATATTGGCAGTAGAACAAACACCAAGGATCCAGAGACCAGCCTTGTACATCAGCTGTGTAGACCAGATCTAAACAATGAGCTGTTGAACCTGAGCAGTGTCACAGAAGTGAGGATAAAAGGCCAATTAATGTGGTCGGTCATAAATTTGCAGGCTCTGAGACTGAAGATGAAATGCCTGAGGGGTCCTTGCTGTTTTGTGTGCATGTCTGATGAGATTTTTTTTCGTAGATGATGTTAAGAGACTGGTGTTCTTCCCTCTCAGTGTCTTTTTATTAAACCGAGCAGTCTGATGGTTGGTCAGTGATGTGTCACTGACTGATCTGCTGGATTTCTCCACTGATAAAACATTGTGAGAAATAATTGACGGATGTTCTGGATCAGGGTTAATGTACTTTAAGATTAATATGAACTTTAGAGTTGCCAAGATGCAGATGAACCAACAGAGGAGTCGTGTTTATGGAGAAAATGATTGAAGATTTATTTTCTTGTCCGCGTCTCAAGACAGTATTATCACACAGAGAATGCAACTATACGTGTACCTTCATCCATTTCGAGCACATGTACACATACTGTGTGTTTGAATAAGAGATTTAGTTAAGTTATGGTTTGTGTGTAGTTAAACATGTGCAGGTTACATTTTTTTTGTAATTAGTTCTTTATACTTTGGATGGAATATTGCAAATTGCTTCATTGTCTTCACCTTATAGTAAATTTATTCATGTTCCCTCCACAAACTGTTCACATGGAGTTATTCTCGTCAACACTTTGAATAACAGATACAAAAATAAATCAAAAACATATCTAATGTAGACTTTTTAACTGCAAAATAAAGATCCTATCTAAAATTATAGTCTTCTGTGACATGCAATACATCACTTTTTTTTTTGCCTGGAGGAAAGTTTTAATGAATAACGTTCCTGCTTGCCGTTTTGTTTTTTCATCTTTAGTTTTTCACAGACAGTGTTCCTCGGTGAGCTACAGTGTAAGGATAGTAACACAAGAGGGAATTAATGTACTAAAAACGCTTTGAATTTTGGAAGATCCCCATTTGATCTGTGTAACCCAGACTGCTGGTGCTTTATAAGAGGTTTGGCTGAACATCAGAATGAGTTCTGCAAAGATTTTCTTCTCCATTAAGGAACAGACATTGCTTTTAAAAAGCAGCCAGACAGACGTGTGTGTTCAGTGTGCGTATGAGTGTTGCTTATGAACAGAATTAGGAAAAAAATGTAAGCCTACCTCCCCTTTGAGTAGAAACTGGAGCAAAGCAACATGAATTCTGGATGAGAACAATATTTGGTTTCATCTTCCGCATTGTGTTTGAATGACCTCCAACTGTGTCCTCATGTTTCAGACTCTGTCGGATGTGTGGATCCAGAGGAGTGTGTGCGTGTGTGTGGAGCTGAGGTGGGATGCTCCAACATCGCCTTCCCCAAACTGGTCATTGAGCTCATGCCAAGTGGTGAGAATACGGTTTTTAGTCCAATGTTTTCATTCCTAAATGCTGTGATAAGTTTTTAGCAGCACACATCAGTGAATCTGTGCGTATTACAGGCCTGCGTGGGCTCATGATAGCTGTGATGATGGCCGCTTTGATGTCTTCGCTGACCTCCATCTTCAACAGCAGCTCCACACTCTTCACCATGGACATCTGGAAGAAGCACCGACCACGAGCCTCGGAGAAGGAGCTGCTGCTGGTCGGCAGGTGCGACGCTCCTGCACCTGAGAACATCCGTGTTGTTTTAGTGTTCTCATCAGTGGGATGGTGCTTAATACCAGGCTGAATAAAGAAAACAGACACTTGTGTGTAGACAAAGTGAGAGATGTAGTAACAGTGCTCATGTTTGTCTTAGGATTGTGACTGTGATCTTGGTGGTGGTGAGCGTGGTGTGGATCCCCATCCTTCAGTCGGCCAACAGCGGGCAGCTGTATGTTTACATCCAATCAGTGACGAGCTACCTCGCTCCACCCGTCACTGCTGTCTTCACTCTGGCCGTCTTCTGGAAGAGGACCAACGAGCAGGTAACCCCCAGACACAAACACAGAGACAATAAAGTCTTCTAAGACTCCATATAATGTGGTAATAACAGCCACCAACACTTCCTGTCAGATGTCAGAAAATAGAGAAAAATGCTATTGTGATGTCCTCAGATTGCTTGTTTTGGCCATAACCTTCCATCCATCGATTATCTATAGACCGCTTAATCCTCACTAGGGTCACGGGGGGCTGGAGCCTATCCCAGCTGACTTGGGGTGAAGGCAGGGGACACCCTGGACAGGTCACCAGTCTATCACAGGGCCATAACCTAAATGTATTAAATTAAAAAAGAAGGACTTCCTCATATCTGGGAAACTAGAACCAGTGAATTTCTGTCATTTTTACTTTTGAAAAATGACACAAACAGCAAAATTTGACAATCAATTATCAGATTCAGTCACTTGACAAATTCATGAATCGGCTACTCATTGCAGCAAGTAATAGGAGAGAAATATATAATAGCATAAAAACTAAGCAAGCTGGCTCGGTGGTTAGTACCGGTGGTCAGCACTGTTGCCTCGCAGCAAGAAGGTTGCCAGTTCAAGATCCCGGGTGTCCCAGTTAGGACACCTGGGATCTTTCTGTGTGGAGTTTGAATGTTCTCCCCCTGCAGCGTGGGTTCTCTCAGGGTTCTCCGGCTTCCTCCCACACAGTCCAAAAACATGTTGAGGTTAATTGGTGATTCTAAATTGTCCGTAGGTGTGAATGTGAGTGTGCTTGGTTGTCTGTCTCTAAGTGTGGCCCTGTGATAGACTGGTGACCTGTCCACGGTGTCTCCTGCCTTCACCCTAAGTCAGCTGGGATAGGCGCCAGCCCCTCGACCCTAGTGAGGATTAAGCGGTGTATAGATGATGAATGGATGGATGGATGGATAAAAACTAAACTTTTTGCGAGTATACTTATAAGACTCGAGACATTGCTTTTCAACACATTGGTAAGTGTTGTCTCAGGCACAACCAAACTTAATTCAGAGTTTACACCATTCTGGGCAGAATAGACTAAACTTTGGAAAGAATTCTACGGAAGCTTCTGGAGTTTTGAGGATTTCCTCTGTGCCTTGTTTGTCCTTCCTCCTACTCTGTATTGGTTAATGGTTTTATTAGCCTCACGTGGGATCCAGATTTGTGCAGAAGTCACTCTCTCTGTGTGCTTGGTGTGGAGTCCTTTGTGTGTGAATGTGTGAAGTTTGTGTGTTACTCACTCGTTTAATAAAGTGTATTGTTTATGGTTTCCTGTGAAGGAACCAGCATGAACGTACTGCGCTCTCGCTTTAAAAAAAGGAAAGTCTCTGCCTCTATCTGATAACAAAGTGAGAGAGTGCAATTATACCAGATAAAGACCGCAGAGTGAGGTAAAAGATGCCAACGCCGTGTGAAGAGTGTGCATCAGCTCAGAGTCAACAACACGTGTTGAAACATTGTTTGACTGCAAGTAAAGACCAGTTCGCTGCATATTCAAGATCCAATCCTTGTTTTAATAGAGCGAGTCCTGGGTGTGTCTGCTCTCTGCTGGCATGCTGTCCAACAACTGAAAAAAAAATGCAGAATTTTCTCAGGTTTTTCAGAATGAACAGGATTTTCTCCTGTACTGTACTGTAAATATTCCCTTTAAGCAACTCAGAAAAGCTTCAAGGAGTCTACATTCGTTGACTCTCATTACTTTGTGTTTACAGTGAACTTGCCTGAGGTTTCAACATGAGTTGGCAAAAGCCGAGCAAACGCTGATTTGATCATTTGCAGGTCAAAGGACATCCCAGTGTTATGAAATCATCTGTAGCCCCTCTAGCATCGTTTAAGGCAGTATTGTTCTGTGGGCGCAGCACTTTAAGCACAGACTGAAATATGTGAACAGCTACTGAGTGGATTGCATGAATTCTTGTGAGGAGGATGTGTCCTGCTGTGTCGCATGGTCCTCTGATGCCAGCAGCAATTTCACCTTCATAGTTTGTAATGATGAACAGCTACCAGATGAAATTTGGTACACGCGTTCACGTTGTACTGAACTGGAGTCACTAAAAAGAGTCTTTACCTTTTCCTGTAGCGTCTTTTAGTCCAGTGCTTGTTCTGGTTAGTAATGACATTCCCAATAACTTCGACTCCACTTTCTGCTTAGTATTATTCAGCTGCTGCATATTATACATCGATCAGCTACAGCGTGAAAAAAACCTGACAGGTGCAGTGAATGATATCGATCATCTCGCTACAATGCACTGTTCTGCTGGGAAACCTTGTGACTTGGCTTTCATATGGATGTGATTTTGACATGTATGGGACCAAACACAGCGTGCAACTTTCCTGATAGCAGCAGCGCCCCCCCCAGCAGGACAGCGCACCTTCCAGCTTTGCAAAAACTGCCCAGGAAAAGCTTGAGGAACACGATCAAGAGCCCAAGAATTTGACCCAGCCTCCAAACTCACACAATAACACTGACCTTTGTGAGATGCGCTTTAACAAGCCCACAGGACATCCTGCGTTCATGCCCCTGCTTGTCAGCACAAGGAGGATCTGCACAATATTAGACAGGTAGTTTTATTGTTGTGGCAGCTCAGTGTAACATTACCTACTGAACATAAGCATGTCAGAAACGTCACAGTGAGCCTTTATCTCTGCTGCGCCTCAGGAAACTATTAGTCTGGATGTAGACTCCTAAGTCTTCTATCAACAGCGTGACCAAATCCACATTTAAATGTTGTCCCTGAAACATGGTTGAAACACAGTTTTTCGGTGACCTCACTGTTTACAACCTCTCATCTCCAGCCAACTTTTTCACAGCTTATATCAAGCTGTCTGCAGACAAGCGAATAACCAAACCCATGCTTAGTAGACACATTACAGAATGTCACAGTCATCTGTTTCTTTTAGTTGTCTCTTCAGACCTATAAAAAAGTTATTGAGTTCATAGCGGTGTTTCAAAAAAGGTGTGAGGTTTTTTTTCTTTGTTCAGATAAGCTGGGAGCATATCACTGTGACAATCTGAGCGGTATTGACTCAGGGGTCAAAGGACACACATTACTGCTCAGGATGAATCACATGCTTGGTAGTCTGACTGTAGACTGCGCACAATGCAGACTTGTTTACACGGTGGCATGACGTGTGCAGTTTTAAAGGCTGCAAATATCCCTTATAAAAACGATAATGGCCTCTTTAATTAGTGTCATCTGATGTCTGTTTTCTTGTGTGTTAATCCTTGCAGTCTACATTGTAGGATCTATCTATCTATCTATCTATCTATCTATCTATCTATCTATCTATCTATCTATCTATCTATCTATCTATGGTTAAAACTGTACAGAGCAAGAATAAAGAATCGAGAGAAAGTAATAGAGTGTGAGTAGAGGTGCACATGTTTACTCTGTGTGCTGTGACAAGCTGATTATTTTTTTTCATGCGTGTGAAGTCGAACTGCACAGATCACATTCTTTGCTGAAGGACAGACTGAGAGTCGTTTGTGTTGCTTCACGTGTGTTTACTCGCCGTAAGTGAGAAGTGACACGACAGTGACAGATTATCACGGTGAGAAAGTTACGAGCCGAACGCACCCAAGTGTGACCCCAGAGCAGCTTCAGGTCAGGAATTAGACTGATGAAGATCTGCACGCCAGCACAGGAAGGCGCTCCATTTTCCTGCACGTCATTTTTCTGCATGTGTTTGTGTGTTTTCAGGGTGCGTTCTGGGGCCTGATGGTGGGTTTGGTGGTGGGGGTGTGTAGGATGGTGCTGGAGTTTGCCTTCCCTCCCCCCAGATGTGGCATTGTGGACTCAGCTCCCATGGTGCTACGTGGTGTCCACTACCTCCACTTCGCCATTCTGCTCTGTGGACTCACTGCTATCGTGGTTGCCGTTGTTTCACTGGTCACGCCACCGCCCACCCATGAGCAGGTGTGTACATGTGGATACAATGAATTAATCAAACTATTAAGGAGGTAAGGTTACGTAAGTAGTCTTGCTACACCTGTAATGTTATCTACTTAAAATGACCAGACATGAATCTGAGGTAAAGACACCTGCACATTTGAGATTATCTGAAGGTTGGCCTCCATGTTGAAGAAGCCATTCCCATGTAAATCCAGAAGATCAACACTAAGCTACAGCTCAAAATCTTACCGTACAGTACAACTATTGTTGCGCATAGCAGGATGACTAACTAAAGGCTTTATATTTGACATTTCGTTATAGCCGCTGACCCATTTATCACACCTGATGTTACTCCAATCCGTGTGTGAACTCAAACTGCAAACATCAGCCTTTCTGCTGAAATACCTCGTCTTAACAGATTTCAAAAGAATTAACCAAAAATGTGTCATACACACATTTATCATGTTCGTTTGTAACCTCACGTATTCAGACCACACTGTCATCCAACCACTCACCACCACCCTTATCTGTATCCTCCCTTGCACTCACAACGAATCATAACAAGTACTTCCTACCTACGAAAATTCACATATTCACTGCTGAAAGTAAAGAAATATTACCCAAAATAAATGTCAAGGATAAAATTCAACACCACAACTCAACACCTGAATACTAACTCTACACAAAATGAATAATAACATTGAACAATAAACCACCCCCCTCCACCCTGTGATGGCTATAAACAAGATATTAGTTTAATATTTTGAGGATTTGTTTTCTTGAAGAGAATCAGTTGTTAGCGCTCCAATGTCTCTCTGTTGATATGAAGCCACAAACAGCAGCTACTTAGCTTAGCTTAGCATAAAGACAGAGAACAGGCAGAAACAGCTAGAGTGGTTTTTCCAAATATAATACTAAAAAAAAACAACTTTCTCCTCAGACCTGTAAAGCTTGGCAATGGAGAAGCTAACCCCCACCACTTTCAGTTGTTGCGCTAAGCTAAGCTAACAGCGTTATGGCTCCACCGTGACATTTAGCACGCACTGTATACACTGTGCAGTATCTCTCAAATGTTAAATTGTTCATAATTGCATCATCTTATAGTGACTGTATTCCCTCTAAGGTGAACACTCGCTTGTTTGACTTTAGGTAAAATTAAAAGCCAACAGTTTAGATTTAAAATAAATTTTAAAAATACAGGTCCCACAGTAGGAAGTCGATGCAACAAAGTTTACTTTTCTTCAGCATTAAGAGTTGCACAAATGTCTGTTTGGTCATTCTTCAGAGACAATATCTTGCTGGAGGAGTTGCGTTGCTTCACATTTCTCCTAAAATACCCAAGAGGTGTTCTGTTGGATTGATGTCAGGCAACATACTTGGCTACATCATAGTTTTCATTTTTTCCTCTTCTTTCAAAACTCCTGCGTGAGTTTGGCAGTGTGTTCTGGATTGTTGTCATGCTGGAATATTCCTCTTCTGCAAAGCCTCTGCAGACTGGGAGTCATCCTGGCAGACAGTGTTTTGGTGTGCTGCATCTTTTATATCTTTGTGAAGTTTCACAATCGGATTGAAATAATCTTTTGGCAATACCTTTTCATGTGGGTAAACAACACAGACATGCAGAAGGACACAACCCATTTTATGCTGACTGGAAATCACATGTGTGCTCAATATTCAAACTCGTGTTTCAGTGATCACAGGTCTAGTCACTTTTTTTTTTTCCACATTGGCCTGCATTTGTAACATAACCTTTATAAAATATCTGTTTTTGATTGTTTACATTGGGGAACTCTCATCAACTTAGATGCAATTACTGTTACATAGTTTCCACCTAGGTGATATTGCACAGGGGTGTGCTCATTTAGTGAGTATTGATATTCTCATCAAACTCTCCAAGTTCATATTTTAGAATGCTGAATTGTCCTTTTCAGTGAGCATATTGTCAATAAAGACACGCATTGATGCATGTAGAGTATATTAAAGGCCCTACTTTGCTCAAATTGAAATGCTAATGGCTAAATAAAAGTTTGTTGCACATGCATTTCCTGCCCTTAGGTGTGTAACCTGACCTGGTGGACAATAACTGAGGAGCCACAAAGAGAAATTCCTCTACAGAAAGTGTCCTCTGTCAGCCACCGTAGCTCCCAGGGTAAGAGTCTGAACATTGTCTTGGAATAAAACCAGCCATCATGTGATAAATACTCATCTGCACACACACATGCTGCCTCAGTTGTTGTTTGAGTAACTTCCCCTGTCTGCTGTTTGTGTATTTGTGTGTGTGTGTGTGTGATGTTGCAGGCTCTGAACTGACCCGGCGGGTGACGTGCGGTCGGGGGGCAGGACTGTGCATCGCGGCGGTACGGCGGTCAGAGGAGGCTCCAACTCCCAGAATTCCAAGTGTTCGAGAGAGTGTGTTCTGGTCCCGATTCTGCTGCGTCAATGCGATCCTGCTGGTCAGCATTAACATTTTTCTGTATGCATACTTTGCCTGAGTGGAGGATCAGATTTAACATCCTGCCTCGCCCTCCTGCTCAACTCTGGTCTCTCCAACATGAACTGGAAACTCCGCCTGCCTGCAAAAACTGATTTTTCCAGATCCAACAAGGTGTGGAAACAAACACATTTCTACTTAGATTTCTGCTGAATCCTGAAAGCATCGTATGTTTCACAATGTAAAGCCTATAGATGTAGCTTTGGGTGCTTACATCATCCACATTTAGAACTACAAAATACCCACAGAGCACATACCTCCACTCAGGCTGCACAACCCCCAAATTCATAACTGACAAGATAAAGCGGTGACTTTTTTTTTTTTTTTTTTTTTTTTTTAATCTGCATTCGGAGCCACATGCACATCTGCATCACATTCGTGATAGATATGGGATGCACATGTCAGACTTATTTTTTTTTAATTCGAGTTCAAATAATACTAATAACTTTTATTTGTCTAGGACCTTCCATGCCAAGATTCAACCCAAAGTACTTTACTGACAAGATTCAAAACTACCATAAAAATTAAATGTTTGACAATACAAACATTACATGAAATCCTTTTTTATTTTTGAGAAATTATAGCCAAATTTAAAATGTAGGTCTTTCATTTAAATGAAAAGATTACAGTAAGATCCAGGGAAGAGGATGCCCTGCAGAAACTGCTTCACCAGCATGAACTTTTAAAGGAAAGCAGAATTCTTTCTTGAATATAAAATAAAAAGCAATCTCTACAGTAGGAAGGTGCTCATTTTTTATGCCTTTATAAACAGGTACAAAAAAAAATCTTGGCTATGTTTTGAATTAAGTGCTATTTTCCAAAAGACTTTTTAGAAACCCCTTAACATAAACTAAATGTTTTTAAAATTCTGAACGACTACTATGGATGTCATTTATAATCACGTTATTAGACAGACAACATCTCTCAAGTTTAATTGTGTGGGTTTTTTATTTTTAAATTTAAGTTTTAGAAGGACTTTGGATAAATTACAGTGAAGCTTGTGGATTGCAACAAGCTAACATGAACATGCAGCGAGTACATGACCTTTAAACAAAAGGCATCGCATGCCATCCAATTTAAAAACGTATCGTAAGATAATATAATAAGAATACATCTTTGTGCTTTACTTTGTATGTGACCTGTGATATTTAATTTTGTTTAGAAGTTATATTCATTTAGTTAATGTTCATTACATTATATGTACATCTGTCAAGCTTTAGCCTCTATTGTTCTGTCAGGATATTTAGCTTGTTTAAAAACATGAATTAGAATTTCTCAGTCTTTCCTGGTGCATGACTTATTATTTTATATTCAATTGTTATTGTCATGCAGATTTAAATATAGCACACATTTTTTAAAATATATATTCACGAGTGCAGCTTCAAATGCATCCAGATTATACAGAAATAATAAGGTTTTCCATTTATTTTTTTATTATTATAAGTGTACAATTGATCAGAACTGCTTAACAACAGAGTTCTGCAATAGACAGTAAGACACTCTGTTCTGAGGTCTTGTTGTGTGTTTTTTTTTTATTATCATTATAAGTATTATTACTATTCTGTGGTGATTCCTTAAGAAGTGCAGAGTGTTGGATGTAAAAAATCACGTCAGTCAAAAGATTAAATATCATGACACTTGTTTCGACTTGTCTTGACACGTTTCTGTTTCTTGTGATATCTCAAATAAATTGAATGATATGTGCATCATAGCTCAAAAGTGTCCCCAAATAAATGCAGGATGAAGTATTTATACGCAGATTAAATGTTTTATTTGGCTGCAGAGGGTGTTGGGGGCAAAAACAAGATGGTAAAACATAGCACACATAAAGTTAAATTTCACTTTTACTGCATATAGTCAATGCAAGCTGTTCAGAAGGGCTGGTTCACTCTAAGGCTGCAGCAACTATTTTCATGATCAGTTTATGCTTCAGGTTATTTTTGATGCACTGATTAGTCAGTAACATGCCAAAAAATATGAAACACGCAGAAGCCAAGGTGATGTCTGAATAGTTTGCTGCCCTGCAGTCCAATATCCAAAGTTATTGAGGCAACAATGATGCAATTTAATCAGTGGGAACCAGGATTTTTTTCTTAATACTTGCACTGACTTAAATAATTGATGCCCCAGAAAACTGCCCCGATTTTGCATTTCATTCTCAGCTACAAAGGTCTGGCAAACTCACTTCTGTCTAATGACACAGCAGGATTTTAGGACTAACAAAGCAAGATTTGACTAAGATCTTTAGGCGTTATTCAGAGTTTAACACCCACAAACTAATCAGGGTGGTGTGGGTGTGGTTTGATTATGATTTTGTATCTGTAAATCTTTTCTTGTAACGGTTTTCCAACAATCAGTGGGAGGAACACAGAAAAACAGACACAGAAATCTCTCACGAGAAATAATCAAAGCTGTAGCAACAGAAAATACTGTGATCACAAGACCCCGTTATTTATAGCGTACAGTAAGACGCTGATTGGAAGGGGCATTTAATCAATAAGGAAAATTGCTGTCAATTAGTTTTCCGGTAATTGATTTGTAATTGTGTGAGCACTTTAATCAGTGAAAGAGGACGGTAAGTCACGACAGCCTGACTGATAAACGCCAGCGTTGCAGCAGCACATTGCTAAAGGTTTGATATGTGGTCAGTGGTACAGCGGCTGGACGTATTCCGGCGGAAAGACGCCGACTCGGCCTCGACAGCGCCCCCTCCAGCTCAGGGAGCTCGAGCAGTCCAGCAGGTCAATGATGTCGCCGCGCGTGAAGTGGAGGTGGGCGCTCTGAGGGGGGGCGTAGTCGCAGAGAGCGTGAGCCAGACGAGGCTTCTACACAAAAACAGAGCCAACGTGATCTCAGACGCACAGGTGTGACTTTAATATAAGTGACACTTCATCATTTTGTCATACCTCCAAAACTGGCTCCAGGCGACGCGGGGAGGTTTCTCGCTCCGGGTGGGACGGGTGAGAGTAGAGGCGGGCTGAGGGGATGGACTCCTGAGAGCTGCTTTTGTAAGGGTTGGGGTAGGGGTTACGTGCCGGGTGTGGCAGCAGCTGGGGGGACGATGGAGGGTCTCTGAAGCAGACGGCTTTCTCCACGGCGATGCTGTGAGTTCTGTAGAAGTCCACCAGGCGGTTGAGGGAACAAAACGACTCGTCCCAGATGCAGTACTGACCGCCCCCCTCCAGAACCCGGAAGTGCTCCACCCTGTCACCGTAGCTGCGAGGGAAGTAAGACGACACAGAGAGAAGTGAGGGGAAGAATTGAGGTGTGTGCACTCCTCCATACACCAGCAGCTTCTTCATTCCTCAGCCTGTTTCTCGGTTCAGGAATTCATTCAGTCGTAAAGGGCACACCTCTGTTGATGTGTGAAACGAGACCACAAACCTCTGCCAGTGGGTGTATCTCCACAATCTTCACATTATTGATTTCAAATGCCGACACTTGATCAAACACAGTGTTACATCACAGGAGTTACGTCTCACATGGATGCAGTTTTTCTCCACATTGAGGATTTCCTGAACTTAAAAACATAAAAACTCATGCTACAAATTGTTAAGTAAAAGGGAAAATAAATTCGCCCAACTCAACATCAGTCATTGGTTGAATGTAATTTCATTGGAAATTGTCACAGACTGATGCAAACTTTTTGTTGTTGTTGAGTCTAAACATTTGATACAAGCAGCAGAGAAAGAAAGTGGAAGAAACAAGGATTAGCCACTTGAGTCATCAATTATTTGTTTAGGCAAAAATAGTAAAACTAGATCGAGGGTCCACCAGCAGTGGTGCTTTGAGCTGATATGCGGATGTTCTGCAGGTATTCGAATCTCTATGTAGCACTAAGGATGTTTAGCACTAAATGCAAAGTGCGGCTGAGGCTGACGCTCATAAACCCAAGTATTGGACAAGATAAAAAACATATGACCAGATGATGGTGCTCGATGAGGGATGAAACAAATTACCTAATTCATACCAGTTCACCCTGAGGGGGATGTGAACATGCCAAATTATAATGCATCCAGTAGCTGTTGAGGCATTTTACTCAAAAACGTAAATGTCAAACTCAAGAAGGAAAAGTCAGGACGATTCATCCGTGTGTGTTGTTTCAGCCGTCCACGGCAGATACTGACATCCCTACAGCTGCGCCGCTAGTATGGCTAGTGTGTGTGTGTGTGTGTGTGTGTGTGTGTGTGTGTGTTAATATACAGTATTTTTTGCAGTCTGTGTATAAGAGCTAAAAAATCTTTGGGTTTTAAACTGTAGTTTGGACAAAACAAGACATCTGCAGGCCCCAGTTCAGGCTCTGGGAGAAGCCTCCGATCCACTATTTTCAAATAGTTCATAAACTAAGCAATTTAATTAAACAAAAGAAAGAAAAACCTAGCATAACATTGAACGTTGAAACTAATTTAGTTGAAAGAATGAAACTATAAAACCCCTCATTATCTATGAATTACAGTGTCAGCCAACACCTTTTCACCTTATACACGACCTTCTTTGTTCCGTTTTGTTTTCATTGTGAGTAATTGCCTTTGTGCCAATTTGTTGGTGTAATTACTTACCGAATTAAAATATATTTCACTTTCAGATATGCACAATGCATTATTGGATTAGTTTAAAGGACCTTGTGATCTCATATGTCACCGATTATTATATCAGTCCCTCCCTTATACTAATGAAGATGATCCTTTAATTACTCTAAAAGGTGGTGACTATAGACTCTGGAGCGCTGTCGTAAATCCATACTCTGTACTAATTGATTACTATATACACCACATATTAATATTTGCTTTATATGAGTGAAAAAAAGTATTATACTAACAGCGATGGACACTAACATTAATCGAACTGTGACTTGAGCAGTTTAACTCAAATGTTTTTCAAAAAGATTCAACTATTGTTTTTTGTTTTGTGAGCTGTTCCTGGAGCTGTTTCACCACCAACATACAATTAACTTCATTTAGCTTTTTAAGCAGTTCCTTTGTGCATCAAAACCGTGAAACAATAGTATCCACCAAAGCACGCCAAAAGTCAAGCGCCTTCAAACAAGAAAACAGTGTGTATAGTACACACCCATCAGCCACAACATTAATTCATCATGAGATTGATCATCTTGTTAGAAAATGTTCTTCTGGAAAACATGGGTCCTGGCCTTCATACATCCATCCATTATCTATACACCGCTTAATCCTCACTGGGGTCGCAGGGAGGCTGGAGTCTACCCCAGCTGACTCAGGGTGAAGGCAGGGGACACCCTGGACAGGTCACCAGTCTATCACAGGGCCACACTTAGAGACAGACAACCAAGCACACTCACATTCACACCTACAGACAATTTAGAATCACCAATTAACCTCAACATGTTTTTGGACTGCGTGGGAGGAAGCCGGAGAACCCGGAGAGAACCCACGCTGCACGGAGAGAACATGCAAACTCCACACAGAAAGATCCCGGGTGTCCTCACCGGGACGCGAACCGGTGACCTTCTTGCTTCGTGCTAACCACTGCGCCACCTTGCAGCCTGTCCTGGCCTTCATGGAGATGCCAAATTGTTTCGTAGCACCAACCTAAACACTATTCAGGGTTGAGCAAAGTAACTAAAGTGTAAATAAAAAGGCTGTTTTGGTAGATTTTCTCCTAGTTTCCTGTTTAAGGCTTGTCCTTAGAATGATGACAAGCATTAGACAATGAATAAACAGTTCAGAGGAGGTTTATCTGTCCTTTATAATCCACTGTGGTGTTTGTCATCCAGATGCAGTACAGATAGAATACAGCTTGTGCGACCTCTACACAAACTGTACACTCTTTGGTAAGTCCTATTAACTCTCCTTGTACATTATCACCCTCTGCTGATCACTGTGTTGGTGTTTATGTATAAAGTGCACCTCTTACCTCTCAGCCCTCGCAGGCAGACAGATGTGTCTTTAAACATTAATGTGTTCACAGTACGTAAATGCATGTCTGTGACATGTGTCAATTGCATAATGTACCTGTGCTTAATTAAAGACTGTGAGGTGTTACGCAACGCCCCCATTATTGAACACAATTAATTTACCCTCAGTGATTAAAGTGTCCCACGTCACTTTGGCGACCCAAATTACACTTTCTCCTCCTCTTTCCGCCCGCGCACACACACACACACACACACACAGAGTTGCACAGCTGTGATATTTTTAGTGAAATGGGTTGTCGTGGGCCATATTTAAATAGTCTGGCTCTCCCCTCTGCCGGCCCTGACACACTCAGAGACACGTGGATGCTGTAACTTGCTAATGCGCTCAGTGAGATGGAAAACAAACATCCGACTGCACACATAATCAGACCCAGAAGCAGATGCTTACATCTTTGGTCATGAAGGCACACTGTCGGATTAAGAGATGGATGAATGGGATATTTTATCAACACAGCAGATGCAGCAACTCATGCACTGCAGGACATGAGCAGTTTGGAACTCCACAAAGTTCATCAGTCTTAAGCTTGACATTTAACCAGACTTATTTCACCTTGAATGAAGCTGATGTGAGTGCATGTGTGGTACGTTCACTGACCTAACAGAGACAGAAAACTCTCCGGGAGCTGATTCACTCTCCCTCACCAGAAACACTCCAGTGTCCTGCCAACGCAGACGCTGCTCAGCCTCGAGTCTCGACACCGGTCCTGCGAACCACCTACGACAGCACACACAAAATCACACCCTCCTCTTGAGCTAATGTATTTGGACAATTTAAGTAAATATTAATGCTGCTTTTTAAACTGGCTCAAGCATGGGTACCTTTTGAATTAAATATCAGGTCAGTTATGTAAATCAGAGTTTCCCAAAATAGGGGCTGGGACCCAAAAAGAGGTCACAAGATGATAAAATGGATAAAGAACACCTGATTTTATTGATTTTGTCTGACCTTTCTCTAATTTTTGAATAGAATAGACTGAATAGATTCACGTTTAGGCCTTTAAATTATACAATTCAACCTGGAAAATCACTTTTTAGTCAAAATGCTGAGATATCGGTTCATTTTGATAGGTCACAATCCACAAAGGTTAGGACGCACTGATGATTCTAAGCAAGGCAACATGCACGTATCAGTGAAATTAGCAGGAATGAATGCCAGTGTTTTATCCTAAATCAATTTGCTGTTTTTAAAAGTATAACACAAGAGGACAAATGATTTCTTTACGGATGAGGGAGGAGGGAAATGTAGTTCTCGGGCACGTAGCCGCGCTTCCCCTGGACCTCTGCTGTGACCCAGCAGGAATCATCATCCATTTCTGTCACCTACAATACACATGCACACGCACAATTACTCTAAGTAAACAAACACGCAGAGATATATTTGCAGTGCACCATTAGCGAACATTTACCTACTCACCTTGATAATGTCCCCTTTGTGAAAACTGATCTCGTCCGCTTCTGACGCTGTGAAAGAGAAAAGAGCCACAGCCTCCATGCTGCACACCGAGAGTAGAGTCAGCCCCAACAACAGTTTCAGTGCATGAATGAAGAGACGGCACAGCTGAGTGAGTAGAGCACAGCGGGGCGATGATATGACAGGACGAGAAAATCAATGTGTGTCTGTTGTGAGCGCAGTGGCTGACTTGCTCCTCATTAGTTAATGAGGAGAGTTTTCTCTGAGCGTGTGTCCCTCTGTTCGTCCATGTGACCGAGTTGCAGAGCGCGTGAACACGTGGAGAAGCCGTCAGCCTCCGCCGTCTCCATCCACACACTTCAAACTCTGGGGCTTTAATGAAGCATTTCCACAAGGGAAATCAGTGACAGTGGAAGCCAGACACAGCGAAGGAATGAAAGGCACCTAAAATAGAGTGTTCTTATTTTAACAGATCTAGGCAGGAGTTAACTTGGTGACTCAGTGGCTCACTCTTTTCCAAATTCCAAACAATTAAAAAAAAAAAAAAGAGAAAGAGAGAGAGAAATTTGCACCTTATCATGAAAGCAAATGGGGTTTCACAGAAGCTAAGTTTCAATATATGACATGAGTGATCATTAGGAGTTTGTTTCTCGCCAACTGCAGCAATAAAACTGGAGTTTACAAGGCATCAGAACCTGAGCAACGTGAACTACCGCGTCATGGTTGTATGCCTTCAGCGACCAGTCGAGTTTACATCCACTTCTCTTCAGACTTGACTTTTTAAGCTTTGGATATAAAACGTCATCATTTCATCCTATCAGACATTCATGTGAAATTTAGTCCTAATTATCATCTTGAGTTGTGATGAGGCCACAGTGACACCCTGTCAGTGTTTGTGCCAATTCTAAAGAAATTCCCGTAAGGTGTTCGAGAAGAAGCATGTTGTTCATGAGAATTCACAGGTGGGTAGTTCCAAAATGTGACATCAGTACAGTCAAAACAACAGCAGAGCTTTCCAAGAAGCAGTACAGCAGTCTGCCGCTGACTCCCTCAGTGGTTCATGGAAAAGCAATAAAATGAAACCAACTTCCGTGTACTTACTCGCATTTCATTTATGTAAAGACACATTGGTGGAGGCTTTGCTTCAACGAACTGAGTGATGACAATGACACATATTACCAGGAAGGTTGGGCGTGGTGCTAAGACGGTTTGGCACTGGTTGGCAAAGTAATGTGCTTCAGGCTGGCTTCGGGATGGGTTGTGTTTGGGTAAATGTTTATTAGGAAATGTCTTCCTGCTGCTGCCGACAGACGGTCGACACATTGTGCGTTTCAGCCACGTCAGAAAAGCTCGTCCGTCAGAACAAAATCATTTTAGTTCAAATCAATACAGCTGTCCGCTTGTCCCGCGGTCTGTCTAGACAAGCTGTGACTGTGCCAGTTGTCTGCATCCATGTTTGGATATCAGCAGGGTGAGCACAACAGTGTAGTAATGGTGAGTCATGAATGAAATATGGTCATAAAAAAACAACAACAATGTACAGTAGATTTGGGTCACATGGGAGATTTCGGTTTAATATTTGGCAGCATCGCTTGGGTTCAGTCAAGTCAAGTGATTTGTCTTTGTCCTCTGCAAGAAGTACGGGATTCCAAGTGTATCAAAATCTATTAAAATTCTTATAAAACCAACATTGTATGATGAAAATCCAACAAATATTAACACCATCCTACAACATCCTGGTATTTTCAGCACTTGTGAAGTTCTAATCAGATTTTCACAACAGAAGGCAGTGTGTGGGTGTGTGTGCGTGCGTGTGCGTGTGTGTGTGTGTGTGTGTCAGTAGCAGTCCACGATGACCTCCTGTCCTGGTTGTACGTTTGGTCGCGTGTGAGCAGCACTAGCGGTCAGTATGTCCTGCAGCAAAGACAAGGGAGAGTTGTGAACGTGGTCGCTGCTTTGAGTCAGGATGTCCAACCTCTCGTCCAAATCCAGAGACCTCAGCACTTGACACACACTTACAGGGAGCGTGTGACACTCTGCACCCACTGCTTCCTCTCCCGCCTCACCACAGTCATCAGAAACAACCACATCTGCTCTATTGTAACTTTTCTCTTCGTCTGCCTCTTTAGCCTGACTCCTCATCGCCAGAATCTTTCTGATCTCTAGCGCCCAACCCCGTCCAGGCAGTTCACAGGTCACTCTGGCTACTGTTGCCATGGCAGCAGTAGCATCCAGGGCCCCTAGTGAGCGTGGACAAACCGTCTGTCTGAGTGTCACCAGTAGCCGACAGGCCTTCAGAGCTACAGGTCGATCACAATCAACCAGACCGCTCAGCAGCGCCGAGATGACTCCCCGCTCCACCAAACTGTTCAACACACCGACCAAATCTGAGTCCACATCCTCTTTGTGCGTCCCCGTGTGTGTGTGAAGCGCGTAGGCTTGGTCAGAAATCACAGCGTAGGGGTGTGGTTGAACAGGATGTGGGTCTGAGCCTTTCACGTAACCCCAGTGACCTGAAAAGGCTTCGTCCAGCAGCAGCTCAGCCAACTCCAGCGTGTGAACTTTCACCTCCCAGTCCAGATCGGCGCTGCCTTGTGAGAGGACGGAGCGTACAGACTGCATGAGGAGAGAGGAGGAGGTAGGCGGTGACGGAGACGAGTGTGAGGATCGCGAAGAGAACCAGGCGATGAAGTATCGGACAACAGCTCTCCTGGCAAATCCCTCTGTGTCCTCGGAGAGAATTTCAAGCAGCCGGTTCACGATTTCAGTCTGGAGGGACACAGAAGTTCAGGCTGTCAATACGAGTCTAATTCAGGGAAAAGTTGCCGTACACTGACACCAGTATTTTCACTTGTTGTGAACGTTCAGGTCATCTGGTCAAAGTTTGGTTCAGATGAGCTGAGAATTATGAGGGCACCGACCTCAACAACATATCAATAAGAAGTCAATCATGCAATCTGTAAACTCCCACACAGAGAGAGGTCGAACCAGACAGATAACACTGTGGGTGTGTAGGGCAATTAAACTGAACTTAAACTGCTCGAGGTCTTATTAAAACGTAATAAATTCAAATGACTTTATCACTGTTTGTGATCTCATGGGGCATTACAGCCGCACACATATTCAAACAGGTTGTGAAAAAAGGCCTCTGTTACTTGGGTATATGCTACAGTATCACATTTATAAATCCTTTCATATCATAATATGAGGCACGACTAAACTAAAAACAGTGGCCAAGACAGATTTTTCAGTAAATGATATACTGTATAGAAACCCTTAATTATCTGTCACCAAGGTATGTAATGAGCAAATACCTCACAATGCTATTCATTATGATTTCTCATGAGCACTTGGTAATTTATGTGTTACATTTTTACTCCTTCAGCTCACACCAAGAGTTATATTTGACAAAAAAAAAAAAAGAAATGTTAAACTTCTGCCTCTGCAAAAAAGACAAAAGGACAAGCGAGAAATTGGAAGAGAATTAACTGAGTCATCAACAAAAGAAACAAAACAAGAGTGGAGACAGGACACAACCAGGTGTGATATTATACACAGTAGTTACAGTAACACTGTAGTGCCTACAATAATATTACAAATAGTACAGATTAGGTTAATCCGAATCTAAAATAAACTAAAATTTGGTTGTACCATTTTGGATTGGATACAATTTCTTGGTTTCAAATAAAATAAAATAAAAAAACATCTTGAAAGAAAAACACTGTTTCTGCTGATAAAGACTATGAAATATGGTTGAAACCTCTAGTAAAAGTACATTTCTAGCCCTTTGTAGCTAACTAATGCCTTTTGACAACACATACAACACCAGTGCATGTGTTTTATATGCCAAGTGATCTTCTGGAATCAATTTGAAGTTTCTACTATGCTTTTTTTTTTTTTTTTTTTTTAAGATTTTGTGTTCACAGGAACAGCAGAGTAGAAATACCAACATGATATTATAATGTCCCACCTGACTTGTGCCTGGACAAAAAGAAAATAGGAATAAATACTGTGTTTGGCACTTCTTTCCTATGTACAGCTAATTCCTCCTCTTAGTCTAGAGCCAGGGCTGCAAGGTGGCGCAATTGGTTAGCACTGTTGTCTCGCAGCAAGAAGGTTGCTGGTTCGCGTCTCTGCGTGGAGTTTGCATGTTCTCCCTGTGCAGCGTGGGTTCTCTCCGGGTTCTCTGGCTAAATTCTAAATTGTCTGTAGGTGTGAATGTGCGTGTGCTTGGTTGTCTGTGCAGCCCTGTGATAGACTGGCGACCTGTCCAGGGTGTCTCCTGCCTTCACCCTGAGTCAGCTGGGATAGACTCCAGCCCCCCAGCGACCCTAGTGAGGATTAAGCGGTGTATAGATGATGGATGGATAGATGATGGATGGAGTCTAGAGCCAGCAGCTTCCTCAGGGTGAAACATGACCTTTTATCTGCCTACCTGCTCCTGTGTCTCTGCTGCCCCCTGCTGCCAGCTCTGAGCCAGTGTCTGTGCCAGAGCAGAGACAGCGCTGGCTCTCACGTAGCTCTCTGGATCCTGCAGCGCCTCTTTGAAGAGAGGAGTGGTACAACAGCAGCCTCCCAGCAGGGCCTCAGACGCGTCCGTCACCTCCCCGGGTGATGTCTGGCAGGCATTCACCCCTGCCAGGTGTCCCAGAAACTCCACGGTGGAGTCTCTCACCTCCCAGCGCATGTCGCAGGCACGCTTCCTCACCACCTTCACGAGATCTGACAGGGACACACGGACAATATCATCTCTGTTGCTCAAGTGTGGATCCGTCACACAGAGGAGAGTATGTATTAATGTGGGGGTGTTCACCTTGTTTCTGGTGGTCTGTTATAGAGGAGAGGTCTGTACAAACAGTCATCCACTTCACTAAGGCCTGGTAGGACTTATGCAGCACCTGAGACACACAAATACAGCAGTGTAATGATACAAAACCTGATGAGGAAGTTCAGATTTTTCTCCCTCTTCTCTTCTTTATTCCTGTCCACTTGTCCTCTAAATTTCCTGTCTTACTTGTCCTTGTGCTATAAACTCTTAAGGCAACAAACACAACCCAGATACAGAGTAAACAGCACATGTAGCCTACAGTATCTGTATAAGCCTCTGGTTATGTGAGGGTGTCACATGAAGGTGTTAGGTAAATAAACATTTACAGTAATTGCATTGTATGGATAAGAGGTTGGGAAGCCCTAAAAATTAGGTAAACAAGTTTAACTATAATAAAGTGATGTTTTCTGTTGGATGGTTTAGGCCCTTTAGCTTCAAAGAACAAGAGAAGTCATAATGTTTCACCATACGATTATCTTTTAGTGTGCTTCTAACTCAGAGGCAGTTTAAAAAAAAAAAAAAAAAAATGTTTCACCATACGATTATCTTTTAGTGTGCTTCTAACTCAGAGGCAGTTTAAAAAAAAAAAAAAAAAACAGGACCTGGCTTTGTGCTAAAGAAATGTTTTTTTTCCCAATTTGGAGTGGAAAAACTTGGCTATCCGACACAAAGCTCCAGTCCTATCATTTAGGATGATGGGAAATTCCCCTACAAGCCTTGTCTCGGTAATAATCTTCTGCACCAATGGGAGCAATAGTTTTGGAATGAGACATGAGTTACAGACATAAACTGCTCACTAATAGCAGGATGTCAGTGTAAACTTACAGTGGGGTCAGAATCAGGATTGTCCAGATATTGTATCAGAAGTGTGAAGACTTCAGGCAGCTTGACTTTCACTCCTGAAACAAACAAACAAAGGAAATGATCAGACAGAACTTCAAAAGATTAATTGAGCGTTTGTTTTTGTGTATATAAAAAATATAGTATTTGTCAAACTAAACTGCTATGCTTCCTACATACAGTCATCCTCAAATGTATTCATACCCTTCCATTACAGAAAAGGCAAAATTCACAATAGTCACTCAAATAACTAGAAACTGATTTCAGTGACAGCTGTTTTTTTACCTTCTTTAATGGGAGGGTATGAATACATTTGAGGACGACTGTAGACTTCTGGCTGCTCTTTACCAAGAAAACATAAAAGAAGCTTGATTTATATGTAATAAACTTGGATAACATCACATTGTACATTTCATAGTTCAGCTGAATTCATGTAAGTCTGTTCGCACTGTGGCTGTCTTTGCTTTGTCTGACATTTTATTTCGTTGGGATACAACCCACAGATTACATATGCAGTTTTACCTGGGCTGCCGCTGAGAGCTGCCAGAGCCTCTAGAGCACATTTCTGAACTTTGCCACTGCCGATGACATTCGTGTAAACTTGACTACAGCCGGCGGATGAGGAGGAAGAGTCGCCGCCGCAGAGCCTCAACAACGACAGCACCGCGGTGACAGTCAGCGCTGGAGGACAGGGGAGGCAGTCAGCAGCCTGGGGGAGAGAGGCAGAATAATGTCTCTGTGCGTGAGAAATACAGCCAGCATTCTCTCTGCTGCTCTCCCCTCCAACACTCACCGTCAGCGAGATCTGTGGCGTGTTTGTTAGGCAGACACAGATCACGGAGATGCAGGAGGTTTTACTCTTCAGCTGCTCCACCATTGAAAACCGTTCCTTGTCTGCAGTAGAAAGAGAAAATATTCTCAGTCACATAAATGCTAAAAAACAGAGCTTTTATTTTTTTAAACGTGAACTTCTGTGTGTGTTACCAGTGATGTTTGTGTCCAGAAGACTCAGGCCAGTGATAATGTCGAGGGGGAGCAGGAGTGCTCTCACAGACTGGGCTGTGTGGACACGGTCACTGGACAGAAGACCAGAAGTGGAAAAAAAACTCAGCATCCACAGGAATTTGTGAATAAATACTAGACTGCCAAATGTACTGAAGCATAAACTCTCCAAACGGAGACTGCGAGGGTGAACCCACAGTGCGGAGCAGAATGTGAAGCTGTGCTGTGAACAGATGCTTACTGATGGCCTCTGCGGAGGAAAGCAGCAGCTGCCTGAATGAGGTCAGCAGGTTTCTTGATATTCAACATGAATGATAGAAGACGGGAGACGCGCTGGTCTGGGAGGCGATGATCGGCGCTGCAGCTGCTGAAGCAAACATGGAAACACTATTAAAAGTGTTCGCCCACTCATTTAAAGTTGATTTGATGTGATAATTACCACAGTGCAATTTTCCATCCTGCTTATTACACATTTATGCAGCAGCGGTTGTGTTAGTTTACAGCTGCGCCCCAAATCCATACTGCAAATTAATTCTATTCTTTCCCCAGCACTCAAAAATGTTAATATTTACAATAAAAAAAACACTTAAAAATGTGGTGTTAATGTGCACTATTGCTATCAGATATTACACATTTTGGATTAGTTAAAAAATGTAAAGTATACAGTTAATTGATGCAGCTTCTTTCAGTTATTCTGTTTATTCTATGTTAATATGAATACATGAAAACATGTATTATTATATTTTTTTTGGCCATTTTTGCCTTTATTGGACAGCCAACAGTGTAGAGGCACACAGGAACCAACCCGAGCTAGAATTTAAGTGTTGGCATTGCAGTTATGTGGCATGTGCTGTAATCATTTGGCTATAGAAGCGCTAGGGGGGTCATTTTTACATGCATTTTTAATAATGCTTGTCAACTTCCTTGCAGTGTAAGCACAATTTTGCAGAGAGCTGCAGACAGCAGCGTTGCATATCTGCATCTTTGACAAATATTACTCGTGGCTTGCTGGGATATTTAAACTCAGTGGAGCTGTCGTTGATGTCATTAGTAATAATTTGTGTGCATTTCCAACTAAGGCCTCCACACATAGATGGGTGTTTTTTAAACAGGGATTTTCTTCCTTTGTTCTCAAACAACAGATCTCTATCCACACGTAAAGAAAACAGCAAGACTGAGGCGTCAAACGATCAGGCGGTGATGTAATCATAACTCTGTAACCCGGCCAAGAAAAAAAAAAAGCCTTTATCACTTCAAGCAGGCTACCAACAATGGAGCATCAAGAAAGTGAATCATAACTGTGGACTGATTCTAACGCCTCTGTACCTCAGTTTAGTGGAGGATATTCTTAGGATACACGGGTAAACCTAACCTTTTCAGTGACCGTGTGTGTGGATGAAAGGCCAGAATGCTTAGAAAATGCTACATTTTAAATAATATCCATTTAAGTGTGAACAAAGGCGAAGTCAGAAACTGTGCTATTAAAAATGTCTATTGTAATATTCAGCTCCTTTGTCCTTCATCAAGTCACTGATGTCAGTCTGAATGATCTCAGTCACCTCCAGCAAGTAAGAGAAATACAAAACTGGACTTCCAGCATCTCCTCCTCATAGAGTCCAAGTTGTTTTCATCGGAGTTCAGGCTTCCCACCTAACGATGACTCAAACATGAGTGGGCGCTCTGTTACTTCATCAGCTTTATTTACTAAGTTCTCCATTTATTCACCTGTTCACACATTTTAGTCTTTTTTTTTATTGTATTGTTTATTACTTTGTTGCTATCATTTCTTTCTTTTTACTTTATTCTATCTCTTTTAATAATAGGTATCTTATTTAGTTTATTTATCTATCAAGCTTATTTTATTTGATTTGATCTCATCTGGTGTTTCCTCATTGCCCGTGCTTTATAGGATTTCCTCAGTTCTTCTATTCCAGTGGCTTAGACTCCTTTCATTGATAACTTGCCTGTGGGATTAGGGCTGGGGGGTTGTTTGTATTGTTTTATTGTGCTTTTGTTTTCTGTAAAGCACTTTGTGTTGCATTTCTGTTTGTATGAAATGTACTACAGAAATAAAGTCTGACTGATTAACTTACTGTTCATGTGACTACTGTCTTCAAACCATCTTACCCTCTAGAAAGCTCTAGAAAGCTCTATTCTACTGTGCTGTACATATGAGGGAGGTCTACCTGTATGCAGCCAGAATGACGTCCATCAGAGGCAGTGTCAGCTGACTGTAGTCTGCCGTCAGCAGCTCCTCCACAGAGTCTACGACTGTCTGCAGCAGCTTGTCCCACAGAGGAGGCCTGGTCTGGGCCAGCAGCAGAGCCAGCACTTTGAGGATCTGCACACTCTGATGAAGTTGCGTGTTTTCTTTGGGAACCAGTGACTTCTTGAGGTACTCCAGGATTGCAGTGACGACAGCAGTGTAATCTTGATTGGTTTCCATGGGGACAGCTGGGTATTCTAAGTCTGTCGTGGTGGCATGTGAACTCCTGTCTTCATCTTCTTTCTTATCTACGCCGTTACATCCTACAGAGGAGACGGACTGACAGAAGACCAGGACGTAGGCCAGCATTTGATTTGCAGCTGAGGCGACAAATAGGCTTGTGTCCGTCTGGAGTTGTAGGAGCGGCTGGATGAAATCTGAGGAAATAAACATAAAAAACAAATGCATAAAGATGTTCTAAAAGCTCAGTCTGAACCATGAACTTATGATGAAAGCACTTCTTTATTCCTTGTTATTGCCTGTCTCCCTCTCAGGAAATTGTCTTAATAAATGATATAAAGTGTGAAGAGATACTCTTATATCCAATATCATGGGTTACCTGCTTGTACAAAGAAGCTGAGAGCCTTTGGGTGCTGCAGCATGGCCCTTAAGCCCTGGATCCAGCCAATCCGTATACAGGGATCCTCCCAGAGCCCTGCTTCCTGCCAGCGCTGAAGGTTAAAGACCAGGTCCAGAACAGAGCACTCCTGCAGGAGGGGACATCATCACAGGGACAGGACACAGTCAGTGAGGACTGGCTTCAGACGAGTGGACAGTTTAGTAGAAGTGTTACAAGCTGTACCTGCAGAGCTTTGAAGCCATCCTCAGTTACAGCCACTAAGCCGGCGAGTTTGAGAGTGAAGGAGAGGATGCTGGGATCTAAAGCTGTGTTGTGGACCACAGTGGATATGAATCCAAGCAGACAGGGGCAGGCCTCCAGCAGGGATCCCTCTGCATCCGGTGAAAAGACGGTGATACAGATTTACAATCCTGGGGCGGAAAAACCCTCAAGGGAAGTCTGTCTATGTATGGATTATATACGCATCACTACGCAGCATAGCTTCATTTCTAACCCTAAAGAGAGTTGATAAAAGGCTCCTCTGCCACATGATGCAGGAACAGTCTGAAGGCCCTTAGCAATTCACTTTAGTCGATCAAAAGATTAGTCGATAAATTAATCAGAGGTTATTCTGATAATAAATTAATATGTTGAGTCATGTTATAAGCAAGCTTCTTAATATAATAAGTTAGTGCTTTACTTTCTCTGATGTTTTATTACACTAAATGTGGGCACTTTTTTTTTTTTTTGTCACTAAAATCCAGAAAACAACTGGACAATAAAGTCGTGATACAACAAGTGTCTGCTGCAGTGTATTTCAGTTTATGTGTATATTATTAAATGAAACCCTGTGAACTTGTTGTGGCCCCTAAAGGCTCTGGAGTATTTGCCAGCTTGACTCAGCTTGTATTAATGCAGCAATTAATATTTGTTGAATTTCAAAGTTCCACACACAAAAAAAAACAAGGAGACCTCAGAAACAAACACCTGAAAACTCCACCTGACAGCTTCAATGAAAACACACAGACAGGAGGACATTAACCAGGTTGAGGGCTACTCACCAGCCTTGGTGAGCGCTGTGAACCAGTCCAGCAGTTTCTCCAGGCTGGTGTCATCGGGCAGAGAGCTCCCTGAGGCCGCCAGCACCTCACAGACCCGGGGCAGCAGCGACACACACTCTCTGTCCATGGTACCGACCTGAGTGTTCCTGAACCCCCCAGACCAGCTCCACCAGCTACGTTCACAGCTAGCTCACACGCATGGAAGTACAGTTAGAAGCTAATTCATGTAGCACAAAGTAAACGGGTATAGCTAGCTGAAAAACTGAAATGTATTTTTTTTTCTGGTACTTTTGCTACACGTCCAACTCGCGGGAAATAGTTTCGGATCTACCGGTGCGCAGCTTCCCTTTTCTTTCTGCGTTCAGCGCAAATTGTGAGTCCCAACGAAGGCGGCTGCGCTGTTTACAGATCTACAAACATGCGAACAAGCTACTGAAGCAGCTTAGCCACTGCCCCGCCGCTCCACATGCTGTACAGATCTACCGCTCCTCCGCAGCCACTCCACCCGCCTACGAGCAGGTTCCGGTGCTACGTTTCCGTCACATCGTCCATTTTCACGTTTTCGCACATGGTGCCGCACCGGCCGACGACCGCCAGCCGCTTCATTTCTGGGATTCTGCTCCGTTGTAGCTAGAAATCCACCTCACAGCGCTGTTAAATGCAAGATACGGTGGATATGGTGGACGACCCCGAGTACGAGGAGGAGGAGCCTTCCTTCAGCGACCCGGAGGACTTTGTGGACGACGTCGACGACGATGGTGAGCAGCGGCAGGAAAAACGCCGGCTTTCTGGCCTGTTGCTAACGGCTAGCTAGCAGCGCAACGGGGACTTCAGATGCTACGAAGCTAGCTAGCTAGCTAGCTAGCGTTTGCTTACAGAGATATAGTAGCAGTACTATTACATTATAAACCCCTACATATTCAAACGTGGTTACTAGGAATTTAAACAACGACACCGCCGTTTTTCTTGAAGCCCCCAACATCACGTTATCACAGTCTTACTCAACGCCCATTGAAGCTGCACCCAGACAGCCGCTCACTGTGGCCTTGTCGCTGACATTTAGAAAACCGAAACAGCACATTAGTCCGGCTGAGCAAATGGGAAACATTTTCTTATAGCTGTCTGAATGGATAATTGAGGCCAAGACCACCTCTGCGACCCTTCAGTATGTAGTTCATATGAAGCAGCTGGTAACATGGGCTGTCTCAGAGATCCCAACTCATGTTTAAGGGGTCTCTGCTGCATTGTGTCCCTCAGTTCTGCAGGTCTAACATGAACAGTGACTCACCCTCATTGGGATGCTTTCTCATGCTGTTGTAGTCTAGAGATTTCTTGGCAATTTACAAGCAAAATTAGCATTCAACACCGCACCCATTTGCCAGTTTATTGGTACACGTATGTGAACGTAATGTGGGTTAATGCAGCAGTTACTGAGCAGTATCATAACTTACAGTGATCAGTCTCTGTAGAAATGTTTTAAGAGAAGTTCTTTTGACTCGGACTTTACTGAAATGATATCCTGGCCACTAATTTATTGCAATGTGTGTAGGCCAGGTATTACAGATACCTTTCAGTCTACTGCACTTTGATTTAAAAATACCACAAAATGATCACATACTTGCCTCAACATATCCCCCCCAAAAAGTAAAATAAAATATTAGGACAATAGGATTTATTTCAGAGTTTGGTTTGCTAGGTAAATCAGTTTTCGTAAGTTAATCATTTAAATCCATGTATGTCTAATTTAACCATATCGTCTCTTATCATGATTGATGTTTGTGAAATTTTGAAGTCAACAATGAAAATCCCATAAAAATCGGTATTCGGTTAGTTGTTTGGTGTATGTTAAACTGAGATTCATCGAGGCATGAAAATGTGACTGGAAGACCAGACCAACACAGACAGATTAGAGAAGAAGTCTTCTGTGTTAAGCTGCTTTTATAGCTGCCTTTTCTCATCTTTCCAACCCTCCTCCTCTACTTCACAGAGCTTCTGGGTGACATCCTGCGGGAGAAGCCCCAGGAGGCTGACGGCATAGACTCGGTGGTGGTGGTGGACAACGTCCCTCAGGTGGGCCCTGAGCGTTTGGAAAAGCTCAAGAACGTCATACACAAGATCTTCTCCAAGTTTGGCAAGATCACGACTGAGTTTTATCCAGAGGTTGAGGGAACAACCAAAGGGTATGACCTCATTTTCTCAGATGTGTTTTCGTTTCACTCTTGAATGTTCTCTGTTTCCTTTGAAGTCAAGATGTAAAACTCATGTCTTGTTCATGTAGGTACATCTTTTTGGAGTATGCTGCTCCTACCCAGGCCCTCGAAGCAGTAAAGAATGCAGATGGATACAAACTTGACAAGCAGCATACGTTCCGGGTCAACCTCTTCACTGACTTTGACAAGTATGTATGCATGATCAGCCAAGACATGTAGTAAACATACACAGATGTGCATGTAGACGTGGTATCGAAGTAGAATAATCTTTACGTGTTTTTCTCAGGTACATGAACATCAGTGATGAGTGGGAAACTCCAGAGAAGCAGCCTTTCAAAGACTTTGTGAGTCTTTTTTATTAAACAGATACTACTCTTTACTCAAAGTCAGGTTGTTCTACTTAATCAGTCTGGCAAAAACCGGTTTGTCCTAATGTAACAGTATAATTATAAGGTTGATTGTTTTTATATAAGCAGAATAATCAATATGCTGAAATACTGTGAGCTCCTCTCACTGTGTGTCTCTTTGTTCAGGGCAATATGCGTCATTGGATTGAGGACTCAGACTGCCGTGACCAGTACAGTGTGATTTACGAAGCTGGAGAGAGGACGGCCATTTTCTCCAATGATGCTAAAGAACCAATCACAGTTGAAGAGAGAGCAGTAAGTCATTAAATACACACAGTCGGTGGGATAATGGGGTCATATTAAACATAATTCACCAGCACTCGTTGGTTTGCAGGCTAATAATATTTTTGTGTTTGTTGCAGCGCTGGACAGAGACGTACGTTCGCTGGTCACCTAAAGGCACCTACCTGGCTACCTTCCATCAACGTGGCATCGCATTGTGGGGCGGCGAGAAGTTCAAGCAGATCCAGAGGTTCAGCCATCAGGGCGTGTCCCTCATCGACTTCTCACCATGTGAGAGGTAATATGAACTGCTGTCCTAATCCAGAGGAACACACCCTTTATCACTTCTTACCACATTTGATCACAAATGATACTCCCACCCAATCCCGTCTCATTATTTATCCTATTTTATTGTTGTTCAAATAGAAAGCTTATACCAAAGAGATCTGGGTTGTAAAGCTTGTTTGATTTTTCATATTTTATCGCAGAAAAGACATGTCCAGAGGATTTAGCCGGTATCTTTGTCAATATACAGCCACGACTGTATGCCAATTCTGCCATTTACAAATAAACCCAATAGAATGCCATCTATAGCTATAATGATATAAAGTAAATTCAGTGCATTATGTGCACCGAGACCAGGCATTGGCACAAGCTGCATCATGTACAGAAGTAGAATCTCAATGATGGGTAGTGTTAGCAGAGTGATGCATCGCCTGAGCTGTCTGAATCTTCATGTGTGGTTGCGATGTCTTCCAGGTATGTTGTGACCTTCAGTCCCCTCATGGACACCAAAGAGGACCCACAGGCCATCATCATCTGGGACATTCTCACCGGACAGAAGAAGAGAGGCTTCCACTGCGAGAGCTCTGCACACTGGCCCATATTCAAGTAAGAACAAATAATTCTTGGTAAAGTCTTGTTAGCTTTACAGTTGCTGTTCCTGCAGTGTTTGGATGCGTTCTAACGTTTAATATTTGTTCTTAGATGGAGCCATGATGGGAAGTTCTTTGCCAGAATGACACCAGACACATTGAGCATCTATGAAACTCCAGTAAGTAGAATTAAAAACATTATAGTTGTATTATTTTTTTTTTGTATTGTTTTTTTTTTTAATGTGCAAGTGATATTAAAGCCATATGTCTGCTATTTTCAGTCTATGGGCTTGCTGGACAAGAAGAGTCTTAAGATTACTGGCATCAAGTAAGAGTCTTTGATGTTGTTATAACTTGTTTCTCCTAATTACATGGTTTAAGTTGTGATGTCATTTGTTTCGGATATGCTAATTAGAGTCTGTGTATTGGTGTTTGTCTACAGGGATTTCTCTTGGTCTCCTGGTGACAACATCATTGCATTCTGGGTGCCTGAGGACAAAGACATCCCAGCCAGAGTGACTCTGATGCAGTTGCCTTCCCGTCAGGAGATCCGCGTCCGCAATCTCTTCAACGTCGTCGACTGCAAACTGCACTGGCAGAGAAATGGCGATTATCTGTGTGTTAAGGTGGACAGGACTCCCAAAGGAACACAGGTAGTCAGAGGCAGAAAGAGAAGGGGAAACAGCTGACACCTCATTGGTAAAGATCTAATTCTAAATTCAGTGTATTATATTTTTCAGGGTGTTGTTACCAACTTTGAAATCTTCCGCATGAGAGAGAAGCAGGTTCCTGTTGATGTGGTGGAAATGAAGGGTAAGAACATATGTATGTATATGAACATACACACATGCTAATAGTAATTCCTTCCCACGACACAACCTGATCGTTCTTCCGTTATGTTCTTTGCGTTTTAGAAAGCATCATAGCGTTCGCATGGGAACCCAACGGCAGCAAGTTTGCTGTTCTCCACGGAGAGTCTCCCAGAATCAATGCCTCCTTCTATCACGTCAAAAACAACGGCAAAATTGAGCTAATAAGTGAGTAGAGCTGACAGATATGCAAACTTGGGGCAGATCGTTGCCTTAAATGATGTAGCTGTAAACTTGTACTAAATGTGTCGCTTTGTCTTTTACAGAGATGTTTGACAAGCAGCAGGCCAACAGTATCTTCTGGAGCCCCCAGGGACAGTTCATGGTGCTGGCTGGACTCAGGAGGTCAGTTTTATATTCATGTGTGTGTGTGTGTGTGTGTGAGGGAGACTGATACAAGAAGCCGCTGATGACAAACTAAACAACTTTTCTGACACCTCGTATGAGAGCTAAGCTCCTGATTCTAACGCTAATCTGAGGCTCAAAGTATTTGATATCTGTGTTGATTGATGTCTTTGTATTGGTGCATAAACTTCATTTTTTCTGTGTATGTGCAGTATGAATGGAGCTCTTGCCTTTGTGGACACGTCAGACTGCACCATGATGAACATAGCGGAGCACTACATGGCCTCTGATGTGGAGTGGGACCCAACCGGTCGCTACGTCGT